GGAGAGGTCACCACTTGACATGTCAGATCTCTGAGCCCAAGGAGGCTATGTTCAACAAATATTTCGTTTGTCCTAAAAAGAAACGGAACTGACAATATCGCGTCTGATTGGCAAGAGGCTCAAATGACGAAAGAAGGAACTTTCGTCATTTGAGCCTCTAAACAATTGGACGCCATATCGTCAGTTCCGTCACTTCGGTTTCTTTTTAGCAGAAACAAAACATTTGTCGAACATAGTCCCCCTGATCAGAGCATGCGATGAAAGGCCGTTGTCTCCTCGTCTTGTTGACCAAGCGAAGACCAAGCCTGACAGTCTAATTTCTATCAAAGACTGGGAATGCAAAGATATCTGGACAAAAAAGGCTGAAGGAACCAAGGCTGTGGACTACATACTCTATTATGTAACTGGGTTTTTGAGTGTGAAAAGGAAAAAAGTTACACGCTGCCCTGCATGCCGATCTGCTTTCAGCATCGACAAGAGCACTTGTGCTGAAGCAGCACTGACAAACGTGAAGAACAGAGGAGGGCTTATACACCGCAACAGGAACCTTTTCCAGCTACTGAAGAAAGCGGAACAGTTCTTTGCAAAAAATAATAGCCACCAGACTGTCCACTGGGACACAATCGACAGTGTTCTTGACACATGCACAATAATGTTTCCATGCCCTAGCTGAACACAAAGAAGAAACAAATGCCCAGTTGCTCCACTACTACATCAGTATGTGAATGCGACAGCACTGTAAGCATATTGCCATGAGTATGAACAAACAAGCTCAAGAAAAGAAAAAATCAGCAAAGCAGTGCTTGTCTTAGTTGAAGAGCGAGGGCGAGAAACAGAATGTAGGAAATGGCGTTCTTTGGTAGTATGCAGTGAATTCAGCTTTTGTTGTACATTTTAAAGCAAAAATATTTGTCAGGTATTTTTTTTTTACCTGTAAGACCGGGTGACACCATATATTGTGAGTGTTTAGATGAAAGGTGATTTATGTTCTATAACCACTACTACTGTTTGACTTTCAGTCACTGTGTCATCATTTCAGTTAGTATGTCGTCATACTGTGTCATCTTTTCAGTCACTATGTCACCATAAATAAAAAATGTTTTCTACTCACATAACTTGTATGTACCACAGAACCAGTTCACATTGTATGTATAAACCATATGTAATGCTAATACCTTTCTGCGCGTGTAACGAATTATTTAGACCCCGCTATGTAACATTATTAGAACTTTTTTTTCAATAAGAAGGCAGGAGCAGGGGGGGAATCTCCCGACCTCCTATAAAGCCACGCAATGGGTGTAAACAATTTACAGAACTGTTACGAAACGTGCTGTCGGACAAAACATTCAAGCACGACCCAGCTGTTTAACGGAATTATTTTAAAGTACTCTAAATTATTGAAAGCCCAGTGGATTTTGTTGGGAAGTTTTATATTTATACGAGTATTTTTGTCACGTAGTCAACATCGGAATTTTGTCGTTTAAAAAACAGCAATCTCACGGGGGAAAAGGCTTTCAGTGCCAATGCGCCAACACCAATTCATCATTTCACCACACAGTACACAGGAACCGAGTAAAGAAAGCATAATTTCCTTCACAAGCCCCCTATACAAGCCTTCACAAGCCCCTCTGTACTTAGGCGCCATCTATCCTCGTGCGAGTGAAACGCACTCGGTGTGACAAACATAATGTGGTCGCCGTGTTGGACAGAGAGTCGTCACCTAAATGTATTTCTTCCACCGTGGTGAAAATAAACACCAAGATACTTAAATTCAGAGATATTACTGATTGTCTGGTTTTTGACACTATAAGTTATAGGAAATTTAGAGACATTTCTTGTAAAATTAACGGGGTTACATTACCCAATATTAGGCTCATGTTCCATTGGTTTTTGGTTACACCAGTATGCTACCTTATCGAGATCGCTCTGTAGCATCTCAGTGTCTCTTGTTGAATTTATTTCCCGGTAATTAACGCAATCATCTGCAAAAAGGTTTATATTTGACTGAATATTTTCTACAATGTCATTGACATAAATTAGAAACAATAACGGTTCAAGAAAGCTGCCCTGGGGGGCCACTGAAGTCACAGGGACGGGTGAGGATTTACTTCCATTTATGACAACACACTGTTACGGTCTTTTAAATAATTTCTTATGCAATTTTGAACCTTACAATTAATGTTTATAGAGGCTAGTTTAATCTGTAGTAGGTTATGAGGTACTGTACGTGTTAAATGCTTTGTTAAAATCTAAAAAGACTGTCTACTTGTATATTTTTGTCTATTGCTGTTGATAGGTGATGTTGAAACTCTGCTAATTGCGTGTGACATGAATATCCACTCCGAAAGTCATGCTAGGATGGAGTAAAGAAATTACAGTTATCAAGATATTTGAACATTTCACTATATAAAATATGCTCAAAAAGCTTAGAGCAAAATGAAGTAAACGATATAGGCCTACAATTTCAAACAAGTTTGTTATTTCCCGATTTAAAAACAGGAATCACAATCGCCGCCTTCCAATCTTGTGGTGTTCTTTGGCGTGTAACCAAAGTTTACTCCTAAAATTTTTATGTTGTTTCCTCGTTTGGCATATCAACATCTAACTATTAAAAAAATTAATTGTTTGGTGATTTAGTGTGTGTTGCTTTTTTCGAGTGTGATGTATATCTTCCTTGTTTCTAAAATAATCGTACAGGCCGGAAACTGACAATTATTGTTTGGTTTCGTCCTCTCATTATACCACCAAAAAGCACTCGTACATGATTAGTTTTGACAAAGCGTTATCTGGGGGGGGCTCAGTCAGTTTGGTCAGACGAAAACCGTCAAGTTACAACCAGTTATCAATATTTTTGAATTTTTTGCTGCAGGGCAAGTGGAGAACAACCTACATTGCTAGTTTTATTTAGGTAATAGCCAACATTACTTTAGTAATAGCTTGCACCATCTACACATAATTGAACAAACAAACCACTGATCTCTAGCAGTCCTACTGCACTGGCAAAATATCCCATCTACAGCGTGTAAAAATATCGCCCAAAACTATGAAAAATTAATCTCGCCCGGTCTCTACCTGGTTACTCTGTCTAAATATATAACAACAATTTAACTCTGAATTTGCAGCATTTAGGTACTTTGGGTGCACCGAAGAACTGCGAAAACTCAGATTTGGCCATTCACAGAGCCGTATATGCAGAGTTTGGCCATACATTGGGAAGTATAGGAGACAAATCAGGAGGCACCATTGGCCGAAAGCGGGCTGGGCATGTTTCAGGGTGTCTTCACAAATTCGAATGTGGCCAACTAGAAGCCGGAAATAATACCCTGGCGGTGGTCGCGAGAAACAAACTTAATAAGTGCGCCGGAGTAAGTTTCGCTGACTGAAAATATGGTGCACGCGATGTTTCAATCACGGTTGGTATTGGTATTTATTTGCCCTCGTGAGCGCAGGCGCCACAGAAAGGCGTGTAGCCCTTACAATAATGCCTGTGAGGCCCGTCTAGAGAGGGTGATTATGTTAGTGATAATGAACAGTGAGTTATACCTCCAGAATCATGGTGGAAGAGTGCGACTAGCGCACTAGCGGAACGATCGACATTGTTCGTACGCCAAGCGCTGACGGCGGGGAATCTGCAGTCCGAGCGGTCACACTACAGTGACTACAGCGGCTTGTTGTTACCGCGTAGCCTCCACCATGCATCGGGAACGGCCGCTGCTTGGAAGACGGTGTAGGTAGCGGTTCGATTGTGTCGTGTATCGTTATCTTCACAGATGGCGCCAAGCCGTATATGGCGAGATTTTGGTCAGTCTATGAACTCGCCGCCGTAACGCTCTCCTCCCAAGTGAGCCAATCAGCACGCGGCGTAGAGCGAGAGGCATGAGCGCATGCGCGTGGACTCCCGGCTGATCCCACCTGAGTGGAGAGGGCCGCCATCTTTGATCATTCTCCCGGCTGGATGCGTGGGGTTGGCATCTAAATAATAATAGGAGTTTATTTTCCAACTCTGGCAAGAAAATGACATTCTGTTATTCCTCGGTGGGTTAAAAAGCTAATAAATGAAGATTTTTTGGCGTATGGCCACAAACTTTTATTCAGGCGAAAAAGAAGTTGGCCCGTAGCAGACGACGCATAACCTCAGCAGTGCTCCTCTCCGACGGCGTTGCTTAAAAATGGCGGTCGTCTCCTCTCTGCTCCCTTCTTTCTCTCTCGCTCCTTCGGCGCTCTCCTCCCTTTCATTTACTTTTCTCCTCTCCGGCGCCTTGCCACACCCATTGGCCAAACTCTCCCAATATACGGCTCTGAATGGGGCGGGGCCATCGGCAACACGAGGCACGCGGGGCCCGGGGGACACTCACGCGCGGGAGATCAAACCAGGGCGAACGATCTGCGATGCTGCTGAGTAAAAGCTTGTTTTAACCTTCGAGCTCCTGAATTCCTGATCGGAAACACGACAGTTATTACCGGTCATTCACACTGGAAGCGGATCCGCGTTCGCAAAGCGGTTGCCGGTTGCGAACGCGGTTGTATAAAGATGCAGTACAATGTCACGCGCACTTGATGTCATCGATTGAGCGTGCAATTGCACTGGATCTTTATACAACCGCGTTCGCAACCGCTTTGCGAACGCGAATCCGCTTCCAGTGTGAATGAGCGGTTAGGGTGCCTCCTTCGGCCGGCAGATAGAGGCACCCTAACACGCTTCATAACTAATATAAATACCTCAAAAACAATTATTTGTTTCCAGTGAGCTTCTAAGGACATGGTTTGTGTTCGTAGGTGAATAAAGATGTGGAACTAGCAGACGACAATATTTCGACAGCTGCCAGCTGCTAATCGGCCGGAGCTGGCCAAGCGGCCATGATCGAAACATCACGTGCACCCTATTTTCACCCACAAAGGGTTGCTATATTTCACTCTTATGCGCTTAATAAAACCATATACCAACATATACCTAAGCTATGATTACAACAGTTTCTTGCTACTACCGGGTAGCAACCGGTAGGGAATTCTTTGAGGCTTCTGGTTGGCCAAAAGAGCGTGTCAAGCCCATTTTCCGTCTCATGCACGCTCTAACCAACTCTGGCCGCACCTCCCATTGAAGAAAACTGCTCATTATCCATTGGATTTTAGAGTCAGTTTGGTCACGTGATCGACGTGGTCACGTGTTGGTTGACGCGTGTACGTGTACTTTGTTTCCGTCTTTCGGTCGGAATCTCTCCGGTGGCCGTGTCAAAAGTTGCGTTTGATCATCGCTGCTGTCTTGGAGCTTTCGTAGCAGGCGTAACAGTTTTTGCAATGGCACTCGCGCATAGCCTAGAAGATCGCGTACGAGAACTGGAAGCCGAAATCGCCCGGCTAAAATGGGCGGAAGGGTCCAATCCGCGTGGGAAGATTTCCCAAATGAGCTCCGAAGTGGTGGATTCAAACCCCTACAGGTGCGTGCCGGGGTTTTGTCAGTGTGCCGCACTACGTGTTTACTTTTAGGTGTCACTTACAAATCACACATGTGATGTTTGTATAGAGGACAGTAAGAGTTTATGAGGTTTCCGTGATGACATATGGTGCAAACCTCTTGTCGGCATTTCTGACTTAAAGTGATTAATCCGATTATTAAGGTAAAAAATGAGCGCACTGAGTCATTTGGCGCGTATCATAATTGACGTTGATTCATTTCGCGTGACGTTATGCCTACGACATAAAACCCACCCAAGACCTCCGAAGATGCAGCAGATCGAGTGTCAGTACGGTGTTGACAGAACGCTAAACTCCAAGCAGAACTCGTATTAAAAAAACTAACAATTCTTTTTTTTTTTTTGCAGCCGCTTGATGGCTTTAAAGCGCATGGGAATTGTAGAAAATTATGAGGTAAGCTTCCAGCTTAACTTGTAAAATAACCTTTTTTAAGCTGCGGGTACAGTGAGCCATAGAGTTATTATAATGTACGCTAGAGGTTCAACTGGCGCTAGTGTCTATGCGACTTCCGTGACGCAAATTGAAGCAGACAGCAACCAGTCTACTTTTCCAGTCTTCCTGTGTATTCCTATGGGAAAGCACGCGTGCATTTTGTCTCTTCGCCGGAAAATAACACGGAACACTTTGGTTATTTGGGTCGTACCGAATAGTATGTACCTTGATTAACACTGTAAAAGTGTAATTCCTTTAGTTAGCGCATTTTTCTTCATCGGTGACCGATGTTTAACTTCGCTACATTTCAGTCCCAAACGTGTGTTCCGCAGCAGGTGTGTAAAAACAAGCGACGATTCAAAGCAAAATTACAATCGAAAGGAATGTAGAGTGTGTTCAAGGCTCGCCAGCAATCCGGTGACGCTTATATATTGATAACATGCCAGTCCTGTCACTATATAAAAATGACCCCGTCGTGCATGAGCGGATAAAAACATTCAAAACGTAGATAATAAAGTCCGTGAGCTATAAAAGTTGTCTCTTCGTATTGCTTTCTCTGCCAGGCAGCTTTTATCGGGCACTTGTTCTCAAAGATTTCGAGCGTGCGAGTGATATTTTGAACGCAGAACAAGCAACTTCGCTCAGAGCAGAAAGAATAAAACGGTACTTACTTATTTAAAATAGGAATTGATTACGTGGCCTTCAATTAATTTTGATCGTATATGCACGTGTAGTTACTGATGCGGTGTTACTGCGTAGTTCTTGCCGTCTTTCTTAATTTCCAGATGTTCTTCGTTCGTTTGGCACGTATATCCCCCACGCTGAAAAGCGCCGACGTCGTGTTCGCGCTAACAGTGTCCGACAGTGCACATAAATACACGTACGAAGCTGTTTTAGCACAGTCTTTAATGCGATGAATTTGAAAGAAAAACACCGTAACTGACCAATTATTTCGTCGGCTTGACTGAGAAATGTTCCAAGCTACCTAGTACGTACGAATTATTCGGGATATTTGCTCTTATGATCGAGCGCAGAGAGAAAATGCACTCACTTTTTCCCATAGAAATGCATTACCGGAAGTCAATTTTCGACTGGTTGCTGTCTGCTTCAATTTGCGTCAGCACACTAGCGCCACTTGAACCTCTAGCGTACATTATAATAACTCTATGCAGTGAGCCTCTATGGCATGGGCTTTTCACTGTCACCCGGGTTTTAGAAACCGAATAAAGCATTAGCAATACTGCTACATAGTGTGAAGTGAATCCTGTGAATGGAAAATCATCTTTCTGCAGTTTGCAAACAATGTTTTCACTGCAGGCTATCAGAACATACACCATAGCTGTTGTGGGAGTTGGTGGCGTAGGCAGTGTCACTGCCGAAATGCTCACGAGGTGCGGAATTGGAAAGGTATGCCACCTCGCAGGTGGAATCCAATTGGGCATTTTGAGTAGCATGCTACGAAGCAAAGTGGCTGCTCCACTGTCCAGGTCATCCATCCCAAAAATAACTGCTCTTCTCTTCTTGCCCTCATGTTGCAGCTGATCTTGTTTGACTACGACAAGGTAGAACTTGCGAACATGAATCGGCTATTCTTCCAGCCTCACCAAGCAGGCATGAGCAAGGTGGAAGCAGCTGCAAAGACTCTGGAGTATGCACAGCATTTATAGTTCACTAAGGCTCACTCCCTATACACGTTTGCAAGTCCGGCTTCAGGGCGCTGCCATCTTGCCTGTCTGGGGTGCGCTTGGACCAGTCATAATCCGATTACGAAGCCTTGCTAAGGCGTCGTAATCGGATTATGGCCGCTCCCGAGAGCGCACCCCACTGAGGAAGATGGCGGCGCTCTGAGACCGGACTTGCAAACGTGTATACTCTACCTCGCTAGTTGTGCACAGCAATAAGAAAGGTACAGGAGCGAGAGCATAATGCAAGCAGTTGGAGAAAGGGGGAACAAGGATTTCCCCTCTTTTAATGTACCCTGGACTTTGCTTTTCTGCCCACCAGTATTCTGTCACTCAAAACGTACAAAAGGGGCTTTCGTCTTTCTCTCGCCTCGCACAGCTAGCAAGATAGAGTGTAGATGCATAATTTTTCGAGTCTCAAACATTTGAGAGCTGCATTATTTAGACTTCTGTGCCATTCATTATGTGGTTCACCAAGCTTCTCACTATTTTTTTTTTTGTATACTTGGTTACTAGAGAACAATATATTTTTCGCTAAGTTTTCCCAGCACCAAGGAGCATGCTGCGAGTGTAGTTATACATGCTGCATGTGCTGGCGTCTGCAGCAGTATCTCTAATTCACCTTATTTTAACATTTGGAAAATTTTCAGCTACTCTTATCTTTGATGCCTCTACTTGTACCACTATTGCATGTAGTCCTTCGATTACCTGGTGTGAGGTGGGACAAAGAGATGTAACAAGTTCTAGTCTCATTTTTGCTTTAACAATCTGCTTCCATTTGCCTTGCTAAGGTTTATTAATCCGGACGTCACCTTCGAGACATACAACTACAACATTACTACTGTGGAAAATTTCCAGCACTTTATGGATACCATTAGGTAAGTGATAAATTGTTTTAATCTTTATACATTTGGAAATGAGATCATTTATAGTCCATTGATATTCAAGAAGGTAGGGCAAGGGCAAATCGGGCTGGGGAGGAGGAAGCAGACGAAATGCTGGAGAAGACGGGGGGGGGGGGGGGGGGGGGGGGGGGGGGCGCGGGCGGGGCGAAACCTTCTCTCTTTAGCGTTCCGTCTGCTTCCTCCTCCCCGGCCCGTCTTTCCCTCGCCCTACCTTCTTGATTTACGACGGTCTATAGTGGAGCTGGTGACAAGATGACACATCTGTCATGTGTTAGATAATGTTTTTCATGCCAGCAGCAAAATGTTCTCCCAAAGAATTTTTTAAAAATTTTTTTTATTGCAAAAATAAATTTTGCATTGCTGAACGCTCATTCTCTGCCCATATGAGCGCTAGCAGTCTGAACTAGACGCCGAGTTTCAGAATGAACCGTTATCTTATTCAAAGGTAATAAGTGATTTTCTGAAATGTTTAATAGGAAAACGGCGACCGATGGACCTCTTGAATCAGGCACGTAGCCAATGGGGACATGGGGTTCGTTCCCCCCCCCCCTTTTCGAAATCTTCCATTTTGCTGGGGCCTCCTCTCCCCCCTCCCCCTCCTACCGCATTTTGTCATGGTCGGGCCCCCCGAAACAAAATCCTGGCTACGTGCCTGCCTTGAATACATGAAGCTGAATGACAGCAGTTACCACAAACAATCCCCATTTTCCCATTGAAATTTTCAGAAAATCACTCTTTTGAATAAGATAGTGGTTCTGAAACTTTGATGTCCAGTTTAGACTGTTAGTGCTGCATTTCGGCGGTGAATGAGCGTTCGGCAATGCATAGTTTATTTTTGCGGTGAAAAATGCCCTGTTAATTTTTTGGGGTGGGACATTCTATTGAAAAGCAGACTCTCAGTATTAGAATGGATGTAGTGGGGGGATTGGAAGGACCCCAGGCTAATGGTTGTACTGCACTGGCTAAATTGCTCATCTTCAGCTGAGAGACAAGTCACCCTATGAGGCAGACTAACTTCGAGCTGTATATATGTGCACATAACACTTCCTTTTTTTATGGATGTAGTTACGCTTGTTATTGTTGCCATCTGCAAGCATGTCAGTAAACATTTGGGGTGCATCCTCTTGATCTTTCCCATGCAATGTGGTACACCTAGAACGGGCAACTTGCAAGGTGGGCCAGTGGACCTTGTGCTCAGCTGCGTCGACAACTTCGAAGCACGCATGGCTATCAACACTGTAAGCAATGTTAGCACTTGTAATATGCAGACTTCACTTCGACTAGAGTAACATGAAATTTTAATTAGCAAAGGAGAGCCTCGTTGGTATTCACTATTATTTATTTATTTATTTATTTATATATACTACATACTCCAATTTGAAGACATGGTAGGAGTGAAAAAACACTTCAAATATACAGAAAACAACAGTCCAACAGCCGACAGTGCCTAAAAATGAACAATGGGCTATCATGTAAGTACACCTTGAAGCATAAATACAAAGGTCAACCACGCCAATAGAACAAAAAGGTACACAGGAAACGAAAGAATACGCCCTACATAACACAGTCGCGGCTCACAAAAATAATACATACTGAACAAAGGAAAAAATTACAGGTAGTTGTTAAAGCAATTAGCAAATTCTGGCAAGCTGCAATTATGGACAATTTCTTCGGGTAACTTGTTCCACTCATTGACTGTTCGCGAAAAAAAATTAGTACTTAAAAGCATCTATTTTGCGGTTAAACTCGGCGAAGGCTCTGCTATTTTGATTTCTGGAGGGAAATCTTGGGACCCCAAGTGGTGTTATGTGCTAAGATTGATTCAGGTTTACATGACCGGAACTTAGACTGAACATAAACTTCAATCTGTCCACCTTACATCTATGTTGCAATGTAGGCAAGCCTGCTTGCTCATGAAGGGCTGAGACTGAGTCAAGACGACCATATTTGTTAAAAATAAAACAAAATGCTCTTTTTTGTACATTTTCAAGTAAGGAAATATTCTGTGCAGTGTAGGGATCCCATATGACCGCAGCATATTCGAGAATAGAGCGAATAAATGTCTTATAAATGGTCAGTTCAATATCCACGCTAGCTTGTTTGAAATTTCGACGCAAGTACCATAGTTTTGACAGTGCCTTACGCACTATGTAGTTAACATGAGTATTCCAACGTAAATCGTTACTAATTAGAACTCCAAGTTACTTATAGGACGAGACTTCTGAAAGGATATGACTCTCCAATGCGTATTGATAAGTTAGAAGTTTGCGTTTGCGAGTAATGTGCATGTAGACACTTTTTATGGGGTTTAATGACATTTGCCAGGTCGAACACCAAGCCTGAATTTTGCGAAGGCAAGTATTAAGTTGAACTTAGTCATTTACATTACGGACTTCAGTGTACAATATGGCGTAATCGGTAAACAAGCATAATTTCACAGGAATGCTACGAGTAATGTCATTAATGAAAATCGAGAATAAGAGAGGTCCAAGGACGGAACCTTGCGGAACGCCTGATATTACCGAAGCAGAAGATGTTACTAGATATGGGTTTGTTCCATGTGTCTACCATAATTATGTCTAGAATATTTCCGATACTTCCAGGTTCTCCACTATTTTAATGAAATTCCCCGATTAATGTAGATAGAAAAAAGGTCTGAAACCATTGTTATTAATGATACGAGTGTAACATTACAGATAGGGACCTTTTGTTAACTTAAATAGTACCACATGGTTTGTGCTTGTAATATTGATCAGATTACTGATAGTACACTGAAACATTGCTTCCAGATTGTCTAAAAACTCAACATGAATGATAAGATGACATTAATAACTTTCCCTGACGCTCGCAATTTTTTCTGCAAATTCCCTGAAAATTTTAGGCTTTCACTGTGGGTAGACACCTTATTAACTTTTTCTGGTCATTCACTCCTCAGGCGTAGGTATCTGCTGCTCTGTAATCCAGATATACAGGGCAATTTACTTACACAGGTTGGTATTGAGTGTGTAGCTTGACAACTACAAGGGTCATGACACAAAAAATAAAATTGGAGATAGCTGGGTATGTTGCCATGTTTGTAAGTGTCGGTTACATCTGGACACACAGTCAGTGTCCCCGGCACCAGTGCACATCTCCGTGATTGATCTTCTAGACTGGGCTCTCTCGGCGACTGAGCGACCTGGCTCCCACGTGCTTGCTTCCACTTCCATCCCGTGCTTCGAGTTGATTGAATATTGGGCATTTCTCACTTCATCAGAATCGTCTTTCGTTTTAGGTAGGAACAAAGGGCAAGAGTGGTGGGCGAGTGTGACAGGGTGCATGTGTGTAGCGGGCCTAGAATAAGAGAGCATTTGACTGCTCAACCGTGGCAAATGGTTTATGGACACCAGCGTGGGTCACCGTGGGCAGGTGACATCAGATTTCTGTCCGTGTTGCTTGGCCACCTAATGAAAATTATAAATTAAAAAAAAAAAAAGAATTTCGGATTAATTGGAGTTTTAGAAATGGTAAAATTTGCTCTTTACATTAAATAATTTACAAAGGTTTCATATCAAGTATAATCTAACTTGTTTTATTTTCGTGTCATGACCACTGCTGGTGCCACACTACGTGGACTTCATCGATGTGGTTGTTTTGACAGCACCTGTTCACCATGTAAGAAAAATGGAAGAAACAGGCAAGATAGTATTACGTGCAAATAGTGTATTTTGAGTTTGAAGCAAATTCGAAGCAAATGGTGGTTTTGGCTGAATATTTTCTAATCGAATAGTTTCTCCAAGCCTTTCACTACTGTTGCACCATGCTTGAACGAATACCGAGCTAAACTCATTAAGGTTGTTCCCCAGATTCCATTTGTCCATTTATAAGCTAATTTTAATCTAACTGTATGTATGGACTGGCCTCAGAAATTCCTATGCCTTGGGATGGCAAGTGAACAACGAATGTTATCTAAAATTAAACCTATAGAGATGCAAATATTCTTTCATCAATCTCAGTTTGAAAAAAAAAAAAAAAAAAAAAAAAAAAAACAATCGCGAATAATGAACGCAGGTTGTCGGGGCATCTCTCCCTAACATAAACTTGCTTAAAGGGGTACTCCGGCTTTTTCTTCGTAGTCCCCGATTTGCCTGAAAATTTGTTAAACATACCAACAAACATAGCTGAAATAATAACTAAAATATTGGGGGGAAATACAATTTTTTCACTGCAATATTGAATTTAGTTTGCACCGTCCCAATATCGAATTTAGAATATTGGTCTTCACCGTGTTTTCCAAAGTGAAAGGCTCTACTGGCAACAATGAAAAAGTGACGTCAGAGAAAGGCAGGGGTTCACTCTTTGGGCTGTAGGTTTTCTTCCTAATTGATTACAAACAGTTTCATGGTGTCCAATGAATGCTTTGGAAGCTCGCTCCAAGTCTCGTGCAGCAGCTTGAAACAAATGCTCGGCATAGTTCATTTTTAGACTGCCCGCTCGACCTGCAAGCCCGCCTTCCCCTGAAGTAACGGCAATGAAAAGGACGAGTATATTTTTACCTGCAAGCCCGCCTTCCCCTGATGTCACGGCAATGAGAAGCACGGGTATATTTGCGAAAATATGGTAAGGGTGCAGGCGAGCTGGTGAATATTAACTATGTTAGATTAACGTGAGATGTCAATCTGTCCATTTTCTATCCCTTTTGCGTTTTGATGTTTCTTCTCTGCCCCAGTCTCAGGTTAATTTAACATGGGTATATATGAATCTTGGTTTTGGTGTCATTTTTATTCGTCGATTTCACAATAATATTTTGAATTTCACGATACTAAATAGCATGCCAGAAAGAGTAAAGGCCGGCAATTTCGAAAATATAGGTAGTTAAAGTAATTAAAAAAAAATTCAAAATTTTTACTTTAGTGTAGATATCAACATTTACAAAGTTTCAGTTCCTTTTAGATATGCCAGACGTGCGCATGTGCCATCCCGCTTTAAAAATGTGCTTTTCTTGAAGTAGCTCAAAAAATATTTTGAAAATTTTACTGCAGTGTAGGTACCAACATTCACAAGGTTTCAGTTTCTTTTTAAATATGCCAGGCGTGCGCATGTGCCATTCCACTTTGAAAGTGTGCTTTTCTCCCAAACACGCTTACTTTTCTGTGTTGATTGCAGCGGGTTACCCCGTTGAGTGCGCTTCTTATCGTGCACCGGTGCACTGCAAAGAAGCAACACCTGGGAGCTTGCTTCCACGGATCTTGCTTCTCAGCAGTGCACCCGTGCTTGGTAAGAAGCGCACTCAACGGGGCTAACCTGCTGTGATCGACACATAGAAACATGAATATCACAGTTCATCTTGAATAGAATATTGAATAATGTATTATTTGAAACTACTATTCGAGATTTTGAATACTTGCAAACACTACAGTCAAGTATTTTAACTAGCCGTTTTATACACACTGTGTAGTAAGTAGCCTTTGTCATTTTTAGAACATGTATCGATCATGAATGCACATGCAAAAGGTTTAACTATGTTTTCTGAAAGAAACCCACAACCTTAGTTTGCCAAAAGGTCTGTATTGACAGATGCGCTGAGTTTGAGTATTATAAATCCACTCGAAAAATGTATGACATTGTACAAGATGTTTGCAAGTCATTTCAGTTTGAGTAAAGAAAAAACAGCAGAAACCACTATTGTTGGTTGTCTATGAATTGCGATAGCATCCGTCATGTTTAGCACCTTCTTTTGTTACGAGGCCCGTTAAATTCAAGTTCCCCGCTAAATTTAGCGGAGAACCTGAATTTGTTTTTAGGTCCCGTGTCATTGGGTCACGCGACATCAATTTTTCCGCCAAATTTAGCGGGGAAACTAAATTGGTGCATAGGTCGCGACGTAAATTTTTTGGCTAAATTTAGCAGAGAACCTGAATTGGTGGCATAAATTTTCCGCTAAATTTAGCGGGGAACATTAGAGGCCAAATACCCAGAAATCTATGATGAGTAACTTAGTGTGATTCTTTTACAAAGGCTTGCAACGAGCTTGACCAAGTCTGGATGGAGTCTGGAGTCAGTGAAAATGCTGTGTCCGGCCACATACAGCTGGTCATCCCCGGAGAAACTGCTTGCTTTGCGGTGAGTGTTTTATTGAACATCAGGATGCTGTTTGCTGTGGGCTACATCCCAAATGTAATGGACCTTCACAGAAACTCCTGCAAGGTTGCATGAAACACGCAAGCAACGTATACTGCGGGCGTACATTGCTTGCATGTACACCTATAATAATTTCGCTCTTCTTCACCTTAAGGTAAGAATTCCACCAATCTCACATCTGTGATGCGTCATGTGATCTTATTCCGCTTCTAGTGGAGCGTACAACGGTTTGGGAAAGGTCTTCTGTTACTGATTTTGTCTATGACGGCCGTATTGTCACTCTTGGCTTCCTCATAGAGTTTAATTTTAAGTTTTTAGCTTCTGTGCCCTTTGGTTAAGTGTATAGAGTCGTGTCTTTAAGAATGCACAAGTGAAAAGTGATTTACGCATCAGAAGAATGTGGTGAAAATTTATCACGCAGCAGCCGTAGAGCGACTGTTGTGGGAGCGGTAAAGTGGCTTCTCGAAATGGAGCATGGTGCAAGTGGAGGCACTTTAGTGCACATAATAATCTGCTGATTCTCAAAGTTTTCATCGGACCACTATGATCGTAAGGAGCAGTTTCAAAAGTTTCTTGTTTCATGTTTACGGATGACTTGGATAGATGCAGACATAGCGAAACGCTGAAAAACCGTGAAGCAGAACTTTGTCCACCTGCCGTAAAGTTCCGACATAACGCCCACTCAAAATGAAGAGATAAATGTTGAAAAGCATGGGGTGGGCTATCTTTAGAAATGCAACAGCAAAACTTTATCAAAAATTTTTTAATGATAAACACCGGGCACCCGCTACAAACCATGCGATGCGGTAACTGATACTCCAGATCGTGGACACCGCGCATTCAGCAACCCGAGAAACTCCGTCCCCAGCTCCGCCGCGTGCACCTGCGGAGCTTTCGTGCTGACAGCACGAAGCCTCCGCGCCTCCGCCACAGAGGAGAACGGGAGAACGGTGCCGCGAGGCGTCGAAAAGGGATGACGTATGTCTCACGTGATGCGCGCTCCGCGGAAGAAAGGAGCGGATTTCTCCTTCGTGTGGATACCCCATAACGGATGCAACAGATTCCTGTTTTACCATATGAAGGACCTGTAGAAACCCCCCCGAGAACTCACGGGAACGAATACCACAAATCGCAGACGCAGCAGATGCAAGTTTTATGGTGCACTAAACACGCGGGAAGCCGCTACAAACTTGCCTGTCACGGGAACCCATATTTTATTGTAGGGGTGGGCATAGACGGACACAAAAAGAAAAAGCACGATAACCTAGCACACAGCAAGTATACATGACAAATCATCAGCGATAAAAAAAATCTAAGGGATGGTTGTTGATGGTGTAGCTAGAACCGAGGGGCGTTTTCTTGCGTGTGATGTTCATGTATACACACTTAGAACTGTTCAGCGACATCTGCCAATTCGTGCATCATTGCGTTATACTGTTTAGACAGTTACTGAGCTTTACCTGATTACTTCTCAAACCTACCTCTGAAAACGATACGCAGTCGTCCGCATAAAGCCAACATTGTACGCTGTCATCAACAGCAAGATCATTTATGTAAACTAGAAAAAGCAAAGGCCCGAGCACAGACCCCTGGGGCACACCAGAAATAACCGAAATAGTCGGGGAAGTTACTCCTCCGACCTCAACAAATTGATGACGATTGCTCAAGTATGAATTCAACCACCGTTCGAGTCTTTCATTGGCTAGTAGAGTCTTAAGGTTTATCAGCGGCTTCTGATGTGGCACTCGATCAAAGGCTTTTGCGAAATCCAAAAAAAATAATGTCCACCTGGCCCCCCTTGTCCAGAATTTTTGCAAGCTCATTTACAGTATGAAGAAGCTGCGTAACCGTCGAGAACTGATCAACCAGCTTCATATCTGATCAACCATGCTGTTGATCAGATATGAAGTTATTTGCCTCAAAGTGAGTCACGAGATGCTTGAATAAAAAATGTTCGAGAACCTTGCTGCAAGAACAAAGCCAAGAAACTGGTCTATAGTTACACACTTGAAGCCTGTCACCAGCTTTATGAATTGGTATTACCTTTGCAGTTTTCCACTGATCCGGTACAATAGCCTGTTCAAGCACATTACTGAATATAACAAAAAGAAATTTAGAGCACCATTCGGCGTATCTTTTCAGAAATGCGTTAGGGACATTGTCTGGACCACTTGATTTCTTTGTGATTAAATTTAGAAGTGCTTCGAAAATGCCTTCCTGTGACATCTGGACGTCCGGTACTCCTATTGCACTTTTCCTGTATTCAGGTGATCCGCCGTCGTTAATCGTAAATACTGCAGAAAAATAGTTATTAAATGTTTTAGCGATAGCTGATTTGTCAACTTCTCTTCCACAGTCCTCAATCTTGGTTACGTGCTGTCTCGTGCCCTGTAAATGCCTCCAAAATTTAGCTGGATCATTAAGCAGGAAGTTGGTTATTTTAACATTGTAGTACTCATACCTGGATTCTTTTATTAGCGATTTAATTTTTGTACGCAGCACAGCTACCTTTGTTTTGTTAAGTCTTTTTGCCTGGCGCTTTACTTGTAGAATCTCCCTCGTCACCGAAGGACTATGCTGTCTAGTAGTCCTTTTCCTGGCTGGCACAAAGCGCTCTATACGTACGTGTTTACAGTTCCTTGGAAGGAATGCCATAATTGGTTTATATCACAGTTAGCGCTGGTAGATAAATCAGAAAACCAGTCGAAGGGTAACTCAAGAAAATCTAAGATACTTTCGTCTTATGCTCTGTTGAGGTCCTTAACTTCCTTTACCGTACCAGGTCGACGATTGGGGACTAGGACTGGACAGTCTAACACGACCATGCAGTGATCTGATATTCCATCTACAACTGCACAATGGTTATTTGCAGCACACAGATTATTAGAAACAAACACCAAATCAAGGAGAGAACTGGTGGTTTCAGTAACCCTCGTGGGACTCGTTACCATCTGAACAAGGTTGTTTGAGAACATTCAGTCGATCAAAAGTTCAGAGTGGCAACACCCCGACATTGAGGTCATTGTTTCCCGGTCTATATTTGGAACATTAAAGTCACCTCCAAAAATTATATTTCGGTTGTCTGTTTGTGCACAAAATCGTGTAAGTTGTTCAATACCTCAATGTCAGCACAAGGTGGCCTGTATACTACACCCACCAAAATAGAGGAAGATTAAAGCGGCACTTTCACCCACACCGCTTCAGTGCGTGTGGTATTATACAGCACAGAAAATTCCATTCCTCCTCTCAGAACTATAGCCACCCCTCCCCCTTTCGAAGAACAATCTTTCCGTATAATTTTGTGCGTTGGGGGAACAATTTCGCAATCAGAAATGCTATCACTTAGCCAGGTTTCGGTTATCAGCAATATGTCGGGGTCGAAAGTAAAAATAATGCTTTCCAGGTCGATCGTTTTATTGACAATGCTCTTTGCATTCACGTTTATTACTCTAAGTTTCGTGCTAGTTGTACAAACGGCCCCTTGCACTGGAACTTCGGGGAGAGGGAGGGAGCGTGTATTTCCATGCGCTGATCGTCAGGCAGGACTCTGATGCATGGCAGGGAAGAGGGGAATTCTCGCATTTGTAGTATCATCCCAGATGAATACTTGTCCATTTATTTTAATTGTATTGTAAGAGAGAATGACTTTGTCTCCATTCTTTTTTAATTCCTTAGCGCTGTCCCAGAGCTTTCTCCTAATCTGCTTGACACGTGGCGAGAAGTCCTCAAAAATACTGAACCTTGAACCCTTTAAACACCTGCAGCTGTTCAGTACTGCACTCTTGTCCCTCTCATAGAGAAACCTTAAGATGACTGGTCGCGTTTTGTTAGCGACCTTACGACCAAGCCTGTGTATCCTTTCAATTCCAGATGCGTGTACACCGAGAATATCCTCAAAATTGTCTCTCTTAACAGTTTTCCAACCCTTTATTTCTTTCATCTGCTGTCTCTTTCATTCCATAAACAAGTAGATTATTGCGTCTGCTTCTGTTCTCCAGGTCGTCTACTTTGCCGAGAAGGTAATTGACGTTCTTTTCAAGATACCCAATCTTTGTCTTGAAGTCTGTCACAGAAACTATATTGGACAGTCCATCCACTCTGTGTTCCATTGTTGCAAGTCTAGCGTTAGTTTCCGCATTCAGCGCGTCTGTAGCAGTTTTTCCCTCCTTTATCTCCTTCACGTCACTTGCAATGGCCATAAGCTGCTGCTGTTTTTGCAATGGCCATTAACTGTCATGTCTGCGCGCGCAGATCGCGGACAAAAACGCGGGAATATGCTACAAACTTGTATGTCACGGGAACGAATACCACAGATTGCGGACACGGCAGAATCATATTTCACGATCCAACATACACGCGGGACCGACTCGCGTGTTACGGGAACCGATATCTCGCGTGCGGGTCTCAGACAAAAACTCGGGAATCCGCTACAAACTCTCACGTCACGGGAACGGATACTGCAGATCGCAGACGCAGCAGATTCGCATTTCACGATGCAATATACACGCGGCAACGACTCGCGTGTTACGGGAGCCGATATCACGCGCGCAGATCATGGACAAAAATGCAAGAACCCGCTATGAACGGGTACAGCAGATCGCGCAACGGATGCGATTCCCGTCAGGCGTCACGCAATGTCCGACGGGAACTGGGGGGTAGGTGATGTTTCGGAATATTTATGCTACAGGCATTTAGCCAGAAAACAGGGCTGGGCGATCTCATGGGAGTGGCCATTCTCTCGAAACTTTATGGTAAGCCACTGAAACGCTTGAGGGTCTACTGTTAGTCCGAATAGTGCCATCACCATATTTCAGAAATGAGCACCATTCACAAGGTTGATCTTTGCTTTTGTTTCGAAATGGTGCCGTTCTAACTGTAAATCTCGTAGCTCTTTTTTTCTTTTTAACTCCGATTGAATTTGTTGTTTTCATACAATCAGTGGCTATTTTCGGTCTATTTCTAAGGGCGCGACTAATAAGGGACACGGGATTTTACAGTGTGCTCCTCCCCTGGTAGTGGCTTCGAACATTGACGAAAAGACACTGAAGCGTGAAGGAGTTTGTGCAGCTAGCCTCCCTACAACAATGGGCATTGTCGCAGGGTTTCTGGTACAGAACACACTCAAGTGAGTAATGCAACCATCACATCTTCCCCAAGGCTTCCAAATGTAGAAGCTAAAGAGATGATGCAAGAGAAACAAGGTGGCAGCAGTCAATTGTGGGATCAGAGAATGTTGAACGTTAATGGGAATAAGGGCAGCGCAGAAGTATTGGAAAGGCCCCACAGTGGCACACCAAGTAGAATTTTCTAGAAAGTATGAAGATAATGCTGAAGTGCTGTGGAATTCTACCCTTAAAACTACAAGAGATGTGTATGCTGTTGGTAGTTCTAGGAAAGAGCTAATTAGCCTTATTGAAGTGTCAACATTTGCCGTCTAACTTTTTCTGTTAAGTGATAGGAAGTGCTGTCATGAGCTTTAGCTGTAGAGATGAATAGCACACTTTGAATGATCTTGTAGCAATAGATTTACTTACTATAAATGAAATATTAGAGACCAGCATTGAAGGGGACATAAATCATGTTTTCAGGTACCTCTTAAAATTTGGCACTGTCTCCCACTACCTGGGCTACAATGCACTGCAAGACTTTTTCCCAACAATGCAGATGAAACCAAACAGCCAGTGTGATGACAGTTTCTGCCGACGTCGCCAAAAAGAATTTCAGGTACCGTGGAGCACTGCAGCTGTACTCGACTGTGGAGCTTTAGACAGACTTCCTTCTATCTAGTGACGCACAAAATATTTATGGGTCCTGCTTGTGGGTATCTTCATTACCATCAAAGACCTTCTAAGAGCACTTGCTAAAACAGTGCACCACTACTGAATGCACTCAAAACAAGAAAAAAAAAAAAAAAAACGAACATCTGACTGCTTTGAAATTCACACATTCCAGCTGAGTTACACTATTTGTCCTGTAAATACAGCCTCACTAACAAACTAATAAGTTACCTGCTTCTGGAGTGCATATTTTTAGTCAAGTGCAAATAGTGAAATTAGGGATTGAAGCGAATTCAGAGCCAAGAGTGGTTTTGATTGAATATTGAATAATTTCTCAGTCTTTTTCTACAGTGCACCATGCTTAAACGAAAATTCAGTTGAACTCGTAAAGGGTATTCCCAACCTTTTCCTTGTCCACTTCTAAACTCAGTTAATTTTAATATAACTAAATGAACTGTGGCACGTAAACAACAATTTGGTGCAGCCATCCTAATGGAGGGTGTTTATAAATTTTCTTGCTATATGTAAATATTCTTTCTCCTATTTCAAATTTGACACAAAAAAAGAAAAACAAGCAGGAATGCTGAATGCGTGTCTCAAGACATCACTCCCTAAAATATACTCTTTCATAATTGTGGCAGGTTGACCTTGTTGAGTGCACTTCTCACCGAGCACCTGTTCACTGCGGGAAAGCAATACCTATGGAGCCCGTGAGCTCCACGGGTATGGCTTCCTTACAGTGCACAGGTGCTCGATGAGAAGTGCACTCAATGGGGCTAACCTGCCAATGATCAACACGTCATAAAGTATGAATATCGCAGTTCAGCTTGAAGCGAATAGCAAATACAGTTATGTCTTGTTAACATGAATACCCCGCTATTCAGGCAACATTTTCGGGGACAAACTGGGTAAGTATGTGCATTTCTGTGTTGTTATTATGGATGCTTTTTGGGAGGAATGGAGGTGACCATATTAACGAGACATCACTGTAGAGTATTATTCTAAACTGCTACTCAAGTATTTTCAGAACACTGAATGTTTATGACCCTTTGAGAATATTGCTCCACGCATAGTAATCTGCAGCGTAGTCATAAATATTGTGGGTCATTCCTAAAAGTGTCTTATATGCTTGCATACTCATCCAACTTGATGTAATACAAATATTTAAAAAAAAAAAACAAAAAAACACTTAAGAACAATTTAAGAGTTTACCAAGTGAACTGTTGAAATGCATCTATTCTTAAGACTGAACCTGGCGTTTCGTCAGTACAGGAGCGAGAGGCAGCGAAGCCAAAACAAGAGGCTAAAGAAGAAGAAAAAGAGGAAATAATTCACGAAGAAAACGAATGGGGTAAGTTCTGGGGGCAGGGGCCTGCCTGCCCATTAGTGATGCAAAACTATCGATAAATCGACTATCGATACTATCGATAGTTTTTCCAAAACTATCGATAGTGTCTCAGAACTATCGATAGTCGACTATCGATAGTACTATCGATAGTTTTTCGATAGTCGACTATCGATAGTACTATCGATAGTTTTTCGATAGTCGACTATCGATAGTTTTTCGATAGTCGACTATCGATAGTACTATCGATAGTTTTTCGATAGTCGACTATCGATAGTTTTTCGATAGTCGACTATCGATAGTTTTTACTATACTGGCGGCTAACGATACTATCGATAGTGCTATCGATAGTCTTGCACCACTATAGTTTGTTACAACTCAAGAAGGTAGGGCGAAGGTAAGACGGGCCGGGGAGGAGGAAGCAGACGGAACGCTAAAGAGAGAAGGAGGTTTCCCCATCTCTTCTCCAGCGTTCCGTCTGCTTCGTCCTCCCCGGCCCGCCTTACCCTCGCCCTACCGCTCGCCTCCCCCTTCTCCTCTCCTCGCCCAAACTCCCCTCTTCGTCATCACTGAAAGCTGAACGAAAGTTGGGATGGTAAGTGCCTGGCCTAATTGGTGTCCCATTTGAAAAAAAATAATGATAATAAATAAAGCGATAAAAAGAGAAGAGGGAGCGACGCAAACTACTAGTGTCGCAAAACTATCGATAGTAAATCGTCGACAGTACCATCAATAGGTTTACGATAGTCGACTATCGATAGTCTTCTGATATTTGATTAACGATTGTTTTCGGATAGTCGACTATCGATAGTTTTTCGGGAGTCGACTATCGATAGTACTATCGATAGTTTTCCGATAGTCGACTATCGATAGTTTTTCGATAGTCGACTATCGATAGTACTATCGATAGTTTTTTTCACTATTGATAGTCAGATTTCTGGCGACTATCGATACTATCGATAGTACTATCGATAGTTTTGCACCACTACTGCCCATACCAGTGTGCTTCAAGTAGTATTGTTCTGTTTTCACCGTTTTCTCAGGATTTCAAAATTACGGGCCACTCCTGCAAATTTTTGGATATGTGCTACTGTGTTCTTGTGCATTTTTGGAGCGTTTCCTGAGCTCCGAGGTTCACTAAAGTTTCACAGTGCAGCATTACATTGTGGTAATTGTGTGTAGCCTTGAATGTTTCAAGAGTGAACCTGTTCTCCTGTTAAAGTTGCAGGCTTCAGTTTTAATAGAATAGGCAAATGCAAGAAGAAAAAAATTGAACCTCCAAAACGCCACATCTCGCAATGAAACCGTAGCAGTCACCATGTACAAGGCATACCGTGCAAGAATGCAAATATGCTGAGTGGTACAACAAAACTGATTCCAGAATGCAGGATACATACCTACTCTCTGTGCAAATGAGTCCTCGGAGTTCCGTTTTGTCAGTACATCCACTTCTAGCAAATATAACGACTGCCTGTAAATAGCACTTATGCTGGTGTGCAAACTTTTGTGGGCAGTTAATTCTAGGCCACACATCAGGTGTCATATCTTGATGGGTTATTTCAGAATTTACCGTTTTAAATTTTACCGTTGAACATTTAGGTAATAAATGATTTCTTGGAGTTGTTTAAACCAGCAACACTACGGTATTTTCCATCTTCTCGCGTGTTGGCATAAAACACCTGCCTTCTGTTATAATTATACTCGGTGTTTTTTAGGCTTTACATATTTGTTTAAAAAACAAAAAAAAACATGAAAGCTACAGTGGTATGATCTCTGCAGGTGACTTATATGACTTGGGGGACATAATAAAGGGAGCTAATTGTTGCAATAAGTTGGCTAATTAACTTAAAAAAATTACTTTTAAATTTGTTAAGATTAACATTAGAAACTTGCCGATCGTCATTGAAAAACACCCCATCAGTAAGTTTTAGAATGACCTGAAGCACATGCGGAGCACGGTGGAGTGCTAAGGTTAACACTTGTGCAACCGGTGTGAGGCTAGCATTGCAGTAATGATGTGTCCATGTGGTTCTTCAGTCTTATCATCTATGTTTTTGCACTGCCAGCTTTGGGCCCATTGTATGAGTGGTAACTTAAGTGCACTACCGTCTTCCCACATGCTTTGTCATTTATAAAATGACTGACTTAGTGGTTTTCAATCATACTCAGCAAGTTTTTAATTGGAACTATACTTTTATCTTTGCAAATCAAAAAGTAAAAAAGTTTATCCAGTTATCTGACTTAGCGTGACAATTAGCCCCCTATATTTTGTCCCCCTGGCCGAAGAACGTTACTCTACAGACTGCATTAGTGTAGCTTTAATGGCTTTTGATTACAAAATTTCAAAGCAAAAAAATGACCGCATCTCCACGTGGTGAACGATGTTGATTGGGGCGAAGCTCTGGTGGTACTTGTCTGCGTAGACGCTGAGCCGCAGCATGCTGAGCCTTTCGTTCGTTTTCATCCATGTCAGAAAGAGGATGTGTGGTATGGAACGTGGTTATATACGCACTTGACCGCAGCGCCCTCTCGTCTATAAACGTTGAGCCAATGCATGCAAAGTTAAACGCAATTATATACGCATTTGACCGCAGCGCCCTCTCCTGTATAGACGTCGAGCGGCTACATGCAACGTTTCATCCATGACATCCCCAGCTCTTGAGTTACTACCACATCTCGGAGCCCCCTACTCGTCCCGCAGCCGTGGCCGAGCGGTTAAGGCGATCGACTAGAAATCCATTGGGGTCTCACACAGGTTCAAATCCTGTCGACTGCGCAAACATCTTTTTTTATTATTTTTTTTTACTCTACATGAGCATGAGCACCAGCAAAATTGATGTGAGCATGGATGCCGGACAAGGCTAGACCTTAAGGAGCTTTGCCCCTAAAAAGAAAAAAAGGCACCCCATCACCCTGTATGTTTGCTGCAATGCACTGGCACCAACATGTAGACCATAAGTGAGGAGTTATTATTTTTCTAAAATAGCCAAATACATGTGAAGCGAAACTGAGGTAAACAGGAATGTGTGCTTATCGGACTAGCTTTGAGTCCTGCACTGCGGCCACCTTTACATTGATTTTTCTTGCGTAATATGATTGATTTCAGATTAATACCTTTTGGAAACGATGGATATACTTCGAATTTCAGCCGAAATTAGTTTAGTTTTAATTTCAAGATTTGGCTCTTTTAGAAGAAAAAAAACAACTCCTCAAGTATAGGAATTGTCCATGTTCCACAAGGGTGAAAATTGTGTGATTAAGGCATAAATTCTGACTCTACAGTTAATGCCAGCAGTTGTGTATCTGACCTGCATAACAGATTTAACAGAAGAAAGGGCCTCTCCAGTCAAAGCGCGTTGTGGTTTCCACAGAACCTCAGCACGTCATATAAATTCCAATTTAAAAGTTTGCCACAAAATTTGCCCTGGCAGCTAAGAATTCCCCTAATCACATTTTCATATTGCCACCAAGTGCAAGGGTGGCAGAGCTTGTTGTAAAGTGTGCAGATGAGGCCTGGGCTACATACTTTTTGGAAGATGTCTGAAAGTGCTAATTTTTGGGGAATATTGATTACCTTATTCCCAAAACATTGTGCTGTCTAAAACATAATGTTCTTTTCTGGACATGAAAGAAACTTAATGGATTGGCGATATTTCATTAATTACTTAGTCCTTCCTCAATGTAGTCTTCTTTTCTTTTTTCTTTTTAACTACAACAGAATGATGCACTGTTGAGACCAGTTGTACCGAAATAGCGGCAACAGCGAAGTGATCACGATGTCCCATTCCCGTTTGCACTTTTTCAATGCATTTCTGTCTATTTTTTGCGAAGGAAATTGAGCGGCTCCTGGAAATACAGCAAAGAGAAATTTTGTGATAATTTAAGAAGGAATAACATTCAGAAAGTTTACCAAGTCTTAGACCGCCGCACTTTGCTGCCGTGGCCAAAAAGCCACCCAGAACAGGCTGCAGATGCTTGGAAGGCTGCCGGCGACAGTCTCTGCAACATTGTCTGCCCCCCTTCCTTATCTGGGAAGCGGCTTTATTGCATCGCGCGCAGAGAAGCCATCGTGGCATGCCGATAGGGGCGTTCGGAGCACTAGCGACAACGTACCGGTGGAGATGACGGAGGCTGAGAGAGCCTAAATTTAAGAGAGGGGAGCAGTAATTACACCTGCATTTGATTGTCGCGTGGCCAGTGTGGAGAGGAAACTGGGCGGAGAGGCGGACATGTTTGCAGAAGGTGAACGCTTTTGAGTTTTGACCCCTTGCGTGCTGCAGCTTGTTTCGCAAACGCGGCCCACAAACCACGCGATCCCGATCGAGCAGTTGCCCCATCTCTTAAATCTAGGCTCTCTATACCGACGACAGACAAGCTTGAACGCGAAGTCGGTGCCGTGTGGGCTTCTTTGTTTTCTTTGTGATTTATGTCTCTGTCTGGTCGGTGAGGTCACTTTTGCGTGAAAGTCTACTTTGCTCAAGCACCGATTTGGCGAATCATCGCCACTCAACGATGGAGTCCCAGCACCGTCGGCACCTCGATGGGGAAGATGAAGGCAATCTCCTTGAATCAAAAGCGTGCCTTTCTCAACAGAGTGCGCATAAACGTAAAGAATGCCGTCCACCCCCAGCGTCCTCCGCAGGGCTGTCGCAGCTGTTGACATGGTCCGTACATAGGAGGATCTTTTTTTCGATCGGAGCTTGCCGCAGTTGTCGAGAAGCAGCTCCGATCTAGCAGAGGATGCGTGCAGGAATCTCATGAGCTGCGCGATCTGCGGTACCGGTACATCTGACAAGCGAGTTCATTTGTGCGTTTTTATGTGCGATCTGCACTCACGATATTGGTTCCTGTGACATGCGAGTTGTTCCTTCTCTATATTGCATCGGGAGATGTGAATCAGCTACGTCTGCATACTGTCATATCCATTTCTGTGAAATGCGAGTTCGCGGCAGATTCCTGTGGGTCCTTCACACCATGAAATGCGAATTTGCTGCACCTGCAGTAAATTCCCATGACACAGGAGTTCTTAGTGAATTCCCGCGTGTTTACTGCACCAGGAAACGCGAATTTGCATGTCAGCGATCTGTGGTATCTGCTCCCTTGTCACGTGGTTTGTACCAGTTGCCCAGGTGTTTATCACTAACGTTTGATGAAATTTTCCTATTGCATGCCCAAAGATAGCCCAATCCATGTTTTTCACCTTTTATCTCTTCATTTTGGGTGGGCGTTCTTACTGGATTTTACGGTACTACATATAAGAGAAAATTCAGTTCCTGTCAATTGGTGCGATCAGAACGCCAGTTCCAGAGAGTCCATTTGGCACTTTACCTATCATGCAGCCATGTGGTACATCAACAGCTTGTCTCTGAAGGATCCGTCTTTCGAGAACATAGATGAACTGGCATAGTTGTTCGCGGGCCGGCTCTAGGGGTGGGTGACCCGGGCTGTCGCCCAGGACACCATCAAAAAGGAGGAAAACGCCGCCGTGCCCCCTTCTTAATTTCTTTTAGCTTTTGACGCTCGTGCACCGGGGAGGGGGAGGAGGTGCCACGGCGGGAGTTTGCTTAGGGCGCTTGATAGTGTAGGGTCGGCCCTGGTTGTCCGGGCAACCAGGGAAGCCCAGTTTCGGTTTGGACAGTGCTTTCCAAGCGTCCAGTCCTGGCCGCTGGCTGCAGACTGTTCTTATCTATAGTGCGCATGCACTTCTCACCTTCCTCTTCCTTTTCTCGTTATGCACATCATCACACATACGCTCCTTTTTTTGTGGAATGTATAGGAAAGAGCTGGAGCCAAAGTAAGATGTAGCGAATCATCCAAATACTGCAAGGTATGGAATATGTCTACACAGGGATCTGCCTGGTATCAGAGACACCGGAGGAAGACGGCAAAAGGGACACCCCTGAAGCTACTGTCCCCGGTCTTGTGTCTGGAGTGCGACTGGCTTACACCGTGCCTGCACCACAGCAGGTAAGCACAAGAATGGAAAGTGCTTGCCATCATGGAAAGAGGCTCATTTGCGACCGCTGTGATGTGGTTGGCGCATGTCAGGGGGGAGTGCCAAGAGGTCTTCATACAAATTACACTGTTCAGAAGCTGTTTCTCTTCAAAGCTACACACAGTTGTTGAGATAAGCTTTCTCCCAGAAAGGCGGAAGAAAGTGGATGGTGGCAATCGACGCTCGGAACTCCCATAAAAGCAGCAGCCTCCTCAGAAGGAGGAGGCTTGCTTGTGCGATAGGTCATTTGAGACGCAGTATAGACAGCGGTCTCGACACTTTGTGAATGTGGCGCCAACTGTGCAGCTTCTCTGCAGACGTTTCTTCCCGGGAATGCACGTGTACCATGTTGAACGTACACTGAACATAGCTATATTGTAAACAACTTATTTTGTGGTGGCTTAGTTTGCGTCGCAAATGTCGCGTAAAATAGATTGCGCAAAGTTACCCGCGGTGTGATGTCTGTTTACAAAGCGGTACTACAGGAATTCTGCTTAGAAATCGTTCACGTATACCAGAGTTTCCACTCGCTTGAACCAACCAAGAAAAGTATAGACTTGTTCCAAGATTTTCTGAAACAGATGCTGGATTTGGTACCAAGTTATTTAATTAAAATAAGAGCACCGACTTGACACAACAGAAAAAACTATTTCATTACACGTTTGTCAACGTCTAATCTGTCAAGTCGGTGCTCTTATTTTAATTATGACATCTCCTGGCTTTTGGAGTATTTTTGCTACTAGTTATATGTACCAATATTTGAGTTTTAAGTATTCACAGATGCCTACCATTGCACTGTTGTGGGATCCGAGGAATGGCTTCGAAGGAAAGAAAATTTGAAATTCTTGTGCAGTGCGAAAACTAAAAAAAAATGTTGCAGGTTTTTTTTATTTTGGGGGTTAGCACTTTTGCATTGCTGGCCATGAATTTGTGCAGCACTCATAATACTGCTACTGTGGCATGTATTCTGTAAGATGTCTGCTCAAAAATGAAATATGGGCAGTCAGCAAAAGGGAGATGTTACTTAAACTGCTTTTAGCCAGGAAGTATGTTTGGAAAATGAGGCATATTACAGTCAAACCCGATTACAACGAACTCGGGTATATCGAATTAACCCCTCTATCAAACACGCGAGATGCATGCAAAATATCTCGAATAACAAACTACACAATGGATATATAGTATTTCCAGCGCCTACGACCACCAGCAAACACGCAAGCTCCGGAACTTCCACCTTCCTTGCAATGCAGACAGAGGTTCCTCCTCGCCTGGCACAAAGCCTCCTCTTACCGTAGAATACCGCGCATCCGCCCAGTCCACATCAAGCGCCCATTCCCAAATTTGTAAGATCTGAGAAAATATGCACAGTACATTTATATGTAAAATTGATGACCGGACAAGCGCCCATTCCCCATTTTTTTGCGATTATCTCTAAATTTTGAGTGGGCGCTTGCCTGGTATTTTACGGTAGTGTAATTCTTTGTTGGACAGTGAACACTGCCCATGTCAAACGTGGTGAAAAAAAAATTGAATGTTGCCATCGCCTTCAACATATCAACACGTCTGGATTAAAGAACTGAGGGAAAAAAAAAGTGCCTACGTGCGTTAGATCTTTAGAAAAGAAAAAAAAAAAGGGGTCAAATAATTGACAATTTGGACACCTCCAAACCACTCTCAACTTGTAGATTGTCTTCCGAGTCGCGTGCGCAGTGATGAGCAAGGGGAATAGGGAGTATCTGGTTGGGTTCTCTTTCAGAGCCTCTAGCGCGTGCGACCTCTGCTTGCGATTCACATGGTGACCGTGAAGGTTGGTTCAAGCGTTGGAAGAGGGGGGAGCAAAAAGCTTGCCTTTCCATTAGGAAGTTCGACTAACGTGGTAGCACAATGGGGTGAGGCTCAAGGGAGGAATAGTCTTTTTTCACCTCGGGCAGGTGGCACCACTAAACCGAATATAGTACAACTTTGTCGATAATACTCAGTTTTTGACGCATTTACTCATGTTGAAACGACAGTATTTATAAAATATAGCATTAGATTGAGCACAAATGGTACATCTTGCCAACTCAGTACATTATACCCCTTAGTTCCCATGGCTGCCACCTCACAGCTGCAGATCGCAAAATATTCCCGTTCTTTTATTTGCTATTATGCAACGAAATCACAATATTTCAAAAGAATGAGGCGGTATCTCCATTCCTTTTGGTGAGATTAACAATGTAAAAATAAAAATTAAAATTAAAACAATGTAAAAAAAAAAAAAAAAAATTCTTTTGAAGGTAAAATTGTTGCATCACCCCTTTAAGCACCCACCGCGTATAACAAACAAATTTTAAAAAATTTGTTATAAGAAGGTTTTGCCAAACGAAACCGGGCGTTTTAAACAGTTGGTTATAAACAGGTTTGACTGTACTCGTCACATCAAAAAAAATTGGTAAAAACTTAACGCTACCCGTAAGGTGAAACACTGCGACAGCTGAGGTATGATGTCTGAGCCGCTAAGGTGTCATTTCGGAGCAGATGAACTGAATGAATGGTAAATGTGTGAGCGTGCACTAGAGTCCGCATAGGCGTTTCATATTAAACCGAGTAACACACCGGACGAAAATTCCATAGCTTTTTAAAAACACTGAGGGTGTGCTAAGTAGAGAGCATTTCGTGAACCTGTTTAGGGGTGGAACTCATGAAATGTACTTGGGAGCACCCACCGGAGCAGCTGAAACAGCTGTTTTGGAGCAGGTTGGGAGCAGTTAAAACAGCTGTTTTGGAGGAGGTTGAAGCAGCTAAAACTACATTTTGGAGCAGGTTAGGAGCAGCTCAAATTAGTTTTCACTGCATTTCAGCTTGTGTTTTAGACAAGCACGGAAGCAATTTCAATTGTGCTTAGCAGCACATACGAACACGAGTGGTTAGGGACCTCGTTAGATGGGATAACATTGTAACGGATCCGAAAACTTGAAACTTCGTGAGCCTTAATGAGAACCAAAAGCAAGTACCATATGTTTCTGAAGATAGCGTCCTTGATATTTCAGCAGCTCAAAATGCAAAGCAGCACTGCTTGTCGCAAAACCCACACGTGCTCGACATAGTAATTATGCGTGCAACCCCAGTGGCACGCTTAAGCAACGGACGTGCAGTTGCGCGAAGGAACAGGGAAACAAATTTTGAGTTTATCCTATTGTGCAACTCAATATTGAAGCAGCAGACTACGATTACCGGAGTTATTGTATTCGAAGCAATAAGGAACAAGGTGAAAATACGCCGAGCAGATCCACCGCTCGCGTGAGAGCTGCTGGCCGGCAAGGTTTCGGATTGCGCCGCTTTTCAGAAGTTATCAAATCACAATTTTTCTTGCGGGAATGCGGTTCCAACTTTTTTTTTTTTTTTTTTAACTGGCTGACGTCCGGATCCCGGGCCGCAGAGCCCAAGGCAATCTGACGCTTAACGGCTCGACCTCACATGGGCTGACTTGCGTAACCGCTTAAGGCCCGTTCACACTCTTGCGACCTCTTAAACCTGGGTTCCTTAAAACTTCTTAAACCAGAGAACACACTGGCGCCATCTATTGGGAAGCAGTGTAAACTCTGCAGTCCGGCATATTATTTTATTTCTTGCGCATTATCCTTTCTTTCTTGGCTCGAAAAACTTTTGTCAATGTATTAAACGAGCCTTTCTATGAGTATTACGCACATTTGACCCCGGAAACCCCGCAAAACCTTCGCTCTTGTGAAGGTTTTGCGGGGTTTCCGCAAAACCTTCACAAGAGGCGCAGATGGCGCAGACAAATGCGTATGGCGCGACCGAGTACGACTGACTCTCAGTCGTACTCGGTCGCAAGAGTGTGAACGGGCCTTTATGGTTGAAGAATAACAATCTAGTAGCAGGTGGTGTGGTGCTTGAAATCAGACCTCCGATTTCTTTCATGGGCTTCAAGACTCGGGATACACGGGGAGAATAAAGAGAGCAAATTATTGCAAGACCAACCCAGCTAAACGTGCTCATTGGTGCCAGTCGAGTCGATAAAAACCAAAACCAAGAAAAAATAATTTTTTTTTGGCGCACGTTTTGCGATTTGGTGCATAATGGCGCCAGGTATTGGCTGTGGTGCAGTTTCCGCAACATGGCACAGGATGGCGCAGACAAATGCGTATGGCGCAAATGGCGCAGCCGTTCCACCCCTGCTGTTAAACAATTTTATTGAATGCAAACTAGGACTGCCTTGTGGCAATTGAAGAACACTTCCGAAATCACATACTCTAGTGCGTAGCTCCACCTAATTTCACGCCCGTGGTTTCGCCGGGTTAACACCCATCTATACTCCGTGTCACTAGTTGTGTGCAGTGCAGGCAAAGGCATTGCCAGGTCAAAGAGAAAGGGCAAGCACTGGGAAGGCGAGATGGGAAAGGAGGGCAATGGAGGGCGAAAGGAGAAAGGGAGAGCACTAGGAACGTTAGAGAGAAGAGGTTTCTCTCCTCCTCCGCAGCCTTCCTAGTGCTTGCCTTTCTCCCCTTGCCTGGCGTTGCCTACGCCCGTACTGCATGCAACTAGTGACACCAAGTATAGCTTTATTAGTTTTATCGCCCGAAAACCTTTCCGGCATAATTAGCGATAACGCTTTGTTTTTATTGTTTCCATTATCAGCAGTCTCATGTTTATGTTTTTGCTTGCCGTCATGGCGTCACGTGACGACGTATTGTCACGTGACGTCTTGACATCATGTGACACACGACTTATGATGTCAGGTGTCACCTGACATCATAAGTCGTGTGGTGTCACTGCAATATGACTTGACATGGCAATGTCACGTCATGGTGTTAGCTGACGCCAGGTAACAGGCGACGTGATGCGCGGCGTGATGTCAGCTTGGTATCTTCTGGCGGAGTGCTGAAAATGGCCCACGTCAACATGAAGTGCAGTCGACGACGCGAGACCCGCGAAGTGTCCCACTAACTGCTATAGCAGTAAGAAATGTGTGTGACTTGATAAAAACGCATCAAGCTAATTAAAGATGCACATACATACCGTAAAATACTGGGGAAGCACCCACCCCACTTTCACTGAAAACTGGGTTAACCTAGACATGGGCGCTTGTCCGGTTAAATCGGTAAAAACCAATATGGCGGTCAACATAGAGCTTTGAAGGCAGGGTGAACGGAATCAGAAAAAGCACATTTATTTTCACATGAAAAATGCTGGGGGGAAGGAACACTAGTACATATTCGTCGTCACTGATCCCAGAAAACGGCTCTTCCCCGAGTCTGTGCAGAATAGGTCCATTCTCTCGGCACAAGTAGCTTTTCCCTTCAAGAAAGCAGATATCTCCATCCTCGCCGCTAGCAGTCTTGTGGCTACCGCATGGGGTGAATATTTTCAGCTGATGTCAGTGCTTAACGTTTGGGAAATGTTAATAGTGGGCGCTTGTACGAAGTGGGCACCTCCGCGGTATTTTACAATGCGGGGAAATAAGTGACGTTCCGCGAGAAGCCGGACTTCTTTTTACTGCGGTTCTTGAAGTGAATACGAGTGTAGGTGACACGTGCGATTACAATATAGCACGACAAGGGCACAAGACACGCAGCACACACACATCTACAGACTTGTTATTGCTCCTTTTCAGATTGAAGACGAGGAACCGACAACCGGCACAGAACAGTCTCTCGAAGAACTCATGGCCCAAATGAAGTCCTTGTAAAATGCGCCTAGATAAATCTTTTATTTGAGCACACAATCTGTACACTTTTCTGCTTGAGCATAACAAACATTCACATCTCTACCGCATACTTTAGAGAAAAAAAGAAATGGGGGGGGGGGGGGGGGCGGAGGCGGGCACATATTTCACGATTCATAAACTATCTGCACCTCTTCGAGACAATATGGTAAGTGGAATGCAGAACCGCAGCTCGTTGGGCAAGCGGCTAGTGGTCATTTCGTTTTGGAACTCCGCTTGACCAAAAGGCTCGGCAGCAGAGCCAACGTTGCTATACCTGCCAGCTTAGCTGCTGTGCTCCAGGTGAGTATGTCGTTCATAGACTGCAGTTCTGAAAGGAGGGATCCCGTCTGCACACAGATGAAGTTATATGGCATCAGACCTGGAAGAGGGAACATATGGGCACGTTTTCTATGTGGCTCATTTTGTAGACATTGACACCCAAACTGAACTCTGCACGAGCCTGGAAGCTCTGTAAGCAGATAAACTACACTGCTGCCCTCCTTTGCCACTATTTTGTAGCCAAGCTAGTTCCAGAGGAAGCTCACTACTTGAGATGAGATTTCTTGTGGGTCAGAGATTAGCTTGGGGTGTCCTGCTGACAAATCGGATAAAAACTTGCAGCATTTTGGGGTATTTTGCACCTCAATTCTGACTATATTGTCAAAGTGAAATGTGGGGTTCTATGTGCCCAACCAACGAAGGGCATTGGCACGCCCCAGAGGAGGACTGGGGATCTTTTGACGTGCAACCGAAATCTTGGTTACCTTTTCCACAATAAGCCTCCGTCAGATTGCAGGCACCTCGGCTTGGATTCCAACCCACCAACTGGGGATTCATAGGCCAACGCTTGGCCGGACCACTGGGGCGGCCCGATTATATTGTGAGATTTGTTCAGAATTTCTAGCTCAGTTGAGTGAAGCATGCACAGATTTTGCTCTCTGAGGTTCATCAAACATGTCCCTGCTGCACTTCTTTGGAGCAATACTTTGTGCAGTTCTTTCAGTACATGGCCCCGTGGGGGTTTACAACCTGTGGTACGTTCCCTTGGTTGAATCTCGCCCACCGCTGTTTGAGGCTGAAGGTTTCTTGATAAAAATAGTTCTACCTTTACTTTTTGCCAATTTAATCAATCTCTCAAAAGCTTTTGTTCAGTAGTAATCCTGTTCTGTAGCCACCTATTTTAGATAAAGAATTAAATGCTTTTCAAGGATCAAAGATTATTACCCTATTTATGCCTCACATTTTCTAAATAAACTTTCAGTGGTTGTGGCAATATTTAGTCCTGCATAGGTGTCCATCTCATTAAACAAAAATAAATGTTAAATCAAAAAAAAAAAAAAGATATTTTGAGCAATTTTTTAGCTGAACTACAGTACAAACCGTATCTTCTATACAAATTTGGTTCTCAAGATATCTAGTATGAAAGGAATGGTGGCACATTAGGAGGTTTGGACATCATTATCAGCTGCAACTTTGGAAGTATTTCCAGGTGCATATATTATACACACAGCTAGGATAACTATACAATGTTTTCACAGCCTTAAAGAAATGGTGAACTGAAATTTGGATTTAAAAAAAAAAACAATGCAGGAGATGTAGGCGGGACGCTACAATCCCTACAACACTACTCGTAAGGCGATATCTCAAATGGACAGCCATATTTAAAAAAAAAAAAAAAAAGGTTGAGATTGAACCAGGCCAACGAGGCGCGTGACTTAGAGATATCTCGTTTCCTCCTCTCTTCGCTTCGCTGTGGCGAGGCGGAGAAGACGTGAGGCCTTTCCCTCTCCTTCTCGGAGAAACATGATGTGAACATTTCTGTCAAATGCGCCTCAATTTTTCGAAAAATACAGTCATCCAATCAAGATATTGCTGTACGAGTGATGTTTTGGTGTTTGCAGCATCCCGTTGCACGGTTTTGCCGCCGTGCTTTGTGGAATCCAGATTTCGGTTCAGCATCCTTTTAAAGCTACCACTGATGGGGTATCTATGCTTGCCAAGGTTTTTATTTGTACATGACGCATGAGAGCCCAACTACCCATAACGCAATTTGCGGCTCAAAATTAATTTCCTTTCTGCCCAAAAGCCGCCAATCGAACTGGCCGGTTTGAGTTGCGCTCGCTCTTCTCTGTGGTCACGGGCTGTTTCTTTTATGGTTTAGCGACAACCACCAAATATAATCAAAGTCGTGGGTTATCGAAGACACACACTCAATATTAAAAATAGAAATATGATAGCCATATTTTGTGGCTTCTAAAAAGCTGCAAATACGTCAATTGACAAAAAAAAAAAAAAGTTGCACAGCGATGTGATTTCTGACAATGCTCTCCTCCTCTATATTTCTTCTTCCTTCCCAGTCCAGTTTCAGTTTAGAGCTGATGCATTTTTTTTACTTTATTAAAAATATACGTGACATACCAAAATATTGACTGGGTAGTATTCGGTTTGCGCGGACTGCACAAACCAGAACCTGGCGCGAAACTTTGACGCATTCAAAACACTTGTATCCGAGCACACGAAATTCGAACTATGAAATGCAAAGTGTTCGAAATTTGAACACTTTACCGTCAAACCTCCGAGATGTTTTTCCAAACCATGTATTGGTGTCGTTTCCTGCAACTTGCCAGTTAAGGTGATAAGCATCAAAGTGCACCTGCATCCTAGTCGCGACGCGGCGTAGAAAACAAAAACCACAGCCTGTTTCCATTTGACAATGGGCTTTAGAGTAGCGACCTTCACTGCGGTCCTCGGAGGGCTTCAGCCGATCTGAGGGGATTAAACGTCGCCATCCACTAACAGAACAATGTTTAAAATAAGCAGATTTGAGCTCAACGAAAATGTGAAACTTCCGCGGGCGTCAGGGTGATTGGTCTTTGAGGGTCATTACTTTCCTTCGAGCACCCTGTCCAGGCGAGCTACCTTCAAGCTACCATTAGCACTGTTAAGTGGGGAATGCCACGGATTACCAACTTCAAAAAACTTTTGTTGCCATTCCCAAGATGTCATTCAGAGAGGCAAAAAGAGAAGAGCTAGCATTATTGTGAACTACCTCAACGTTATTGGCTGTCATTCCTATCTCTTCAGGTCCCTGCGTAGGGACACAGATGGCTTAGACGAAGCCAGGGAAGCCTACACCTGATGGCCACGAGCAATTGAATTTGATTCCCGGGATTTGTGATTAGAGTTTGTTTCTGCATGGTGTCTGAGCTGACCAAGTATGCAGCGCAGCGAATATGGTACGCCTTTTTATATTGCCCTTAACCTATTTAGTGCTTGTTTTTTTTTTTTTTGGTTGTATGTTAAAACAACCGAGTCAGGCTAAAAATGTACTCGGGACAACATTTGATAAAATATTCAAACTTATTCCGTACGCCTTAATGTATCACGCATTTTGATGTAGAGCTTTTTGGCAAATGTTTCGTCACATAATAGCCAACGAACAAATCTCCTGTGGTAATCTCAAAATCTGAAATTTAATATGAGAATCCAAAAGAGATGTCCAATTCAACTCAATGCGGTGATCAGAGGTTCTGTCGCACATGAGTAAAGCTCCGTCTTTCTGCTTCATACTGAAATGCACGAAAATTACCCTCCTAACTGGTTTATCAAATTCAAAGAAACCGGAAAAAAAAAATGAATTGGAGCTGCCCTTAAACATCTGAAACCCAAGATTCACGGGAAGAAAACCTGTATTACAGCTTCATTTTGTTTTGAACGGGAACACCGCCCACACTGAACTGTCCGCGAGGCCTGCTTCTTCCTTCAGACTCTTTATCACCTTTCTTTCTCTAGGGGATTCACGCGCATGCTCCATTGGAGGTAAGGGAATCCTATGCCCTTTCTTCTTCAAAACAAGTCCTGATAAACTCCGATTTTTTCGCGAGTCAGCCTGGTCAATTTTCAAAGCACCATCTAACAAGCTAGAGCTTTCATTGCTTCAAGCGTGTCTTTACGCGTTGGTGCTGCCTAGCTCATAGGTTTGGTAGGGTTTTGTGTTTTCAGGGTTTATCTTTCTTAGAATTCGTGGATGCTTTTTCAGGACTTACTTTTTCCTGCAGATTCGGTGTTCTTCGATGAAAACTTTTGGTGTTGGACGAAAAAACGAGGTTTGTTGGAGATTATGTTGAAGAAAATGGGGCATGTGATTCCACAACCTCCGCATAACATTCGCGTGACCCGAATAATGGAAAGACAATCCGCGTACCGACGAGGAAAAGAAACGAGATATGGGGATCCAGAGCAAAAACCAGCCTCGCGGACAGTTCATCGGAGGCAGTGTTTTAAGCCAAAATAAAACTGTAGATGAAGATTTTCTTTCCGCAGAGGTTGGGTTTTTCTTAAAGTACCAATTTTGATACAACCGACAAGGGGGTTAATTTTTGTGGTTTATCCGGATTAACCGAAAACACTAAGCTTCGTGTGAAGTGGGTGCAGAGTTAAATCAAGATTCTGTTATCCTCCGCTTCAAAGCGGGAGATATCACAATCATGTCTTGAATTGCAACACTTTGTGTCGCTGAGGAGGAAAGACCTCTCTCTACTATTTATATGTGCGTTTAAACAAAGATCCAACTTGCAATGAGGTGTGCAGCAGTGCAACTTGGCGCATTTAAAGTTTGCCGGACTGTTTAAGAAAGATTTAGATAGAACTAGGTTGTAATATTTGACATGTGGTCTTCCTAGGTGATGCTGAAGAGGACTGCATTGTTTTTTCAAAAACAAAAATGAAGCAGAGCTGCCCTTTAACGCAACATGACTGCGCTAAACTCTCACTACGTATCATCTCTTGACATAACAGACTATATATTAATAAAATATGTTCAATCACCGATTTCCTTGGCAACATGTAGTAGTCTTTAGCAAGACTGTGCGTCTACCCTTTACTTTTCTTCTTTCTGCTATATTGGGGTGCACAGGTGCAACAAACAAGCAAAAATTGTAAGAGTGAGTGACTATCTGGCTTTCCCCAGAGCTTATTCCCAGCCAGGCTGTTTATTCCCAGATAATAACAGCTAACAAAGTATTACAAGTGGGGTCTCCCCACAGACAACACTGGCATGCTGCAGTTTGCCTTTATCAGTGCAATGTTCTGCAATAGTGCTTTCCTTCCTGGTGTGAAGTGCACACATATCAAAAAGATAATCCTGAACAACGATGCGAACAACCTATGTTCGAAAATTATTCTAAAACTTATTTTCTCTACAGAAAAAAAAAAAAAAAGAAGCTTTCTAAAGCTCTAGGGTTTTACAATAATGTGAATTAACTAATCCATACCCTGGATGGAAGGAATGCTTCCGTGTTGTCTTTCGATGCCACACTTATACCTCATGACAATGGAATTCGAGCAATTGTAGGCAGTACAGGATGGCGATTTTAGGACTTTGAGATCTCGAGGACCTCCATCTACCTCGAATGGCAACAGAGAAACCCGTCCCCGTCCAGTCTTGATGCAATAAAGCGATGCAGAAGACTTCAGATCTTGTATAAACATATTGCACACATACACTAGCCAGTGTTTGACACATACCGTAAAATACCGGGCAAGCACCCACTCAAAATTTAGAAATAATCGCGCAAAAAAATGGTGGATGGGCGGTTGTCCGGTCATCAATTTTACATATCAATGTACTGTGCATATTTTTTCAGATGTTACAAATTTGGGAATGGGTGCTTAATGTGGAATGGGTGGATGCTCGGTATTCTACGGTAGTTATGCATCAATGGGTCGCTCTGATCTGGTAAAATATTGCTTAAACTAAGAAAACATTTATGGGCTGAGATGGCCGAGGAAATTCGGGAGCTCGAGGAAACCCACAAGGGTGTTCTCGGCCAACCCAGTTGGAGAACCTAGGGTATACAGGGGACACTGAGCTTATGGTTGACACAGATGTCAAACATTTATAAGCACTTCAGAAAATGAGTCATTTCACTTTTACGGGGGCCATATCTTCTAGACACCCGATGTACAGTCCGCAGAAGCGAATTCTTGCTGAAAAAAGCTTTCTTCTTAGATGGTTCACACACATGGGGCTCCCTGCTTCACAATGTTGGTGAACCCATGCTTTTCTTTCAGAAGTGCTGCAGATCATTCAGGTCCTTGTACTCTTCTACTCAATATTGAACCCCTTTGTGATTACGCAGTTTGATTACAGCTCTTCAATGCTCAGCTTAAAGAATGCCATGAACGCCTTCCTTATTTTCGGGATAGTGTGACCTTAGTTTTTGAAAGTCTCCACCGTCACTATTTATTTAAACTGATGTTTTAACTACCAAAGCCAGGAGCTGCTGGTGCTCTCTTCGTTGCCCAAATGCAGACAGCAATGCAATAACAATTTGACCTTGTGTGGCTGACCAATGCTCAGCACGAAACAGCACGATCTCAACAACTTCACTAAGCCTGTCTGGTGATAAACCATTCTGAAAAACAAATAATTCTACAGTTGCAGACCACAGAATATAAACTTTTCGATGGCACTAATTGTTTTACAAGTATGCGGTGCGGCCGATGGGCTCCAGATTTTCCCCTTTATACGCAAATGTGACTTTAGAAGAAAGTATACTTAGGTCCTGCTCTTAAACCACTCGTATACAAACATTTTCTGCATGACATATTTATGATTTGGAATTATGGCAAAGACAAGCTTCTTTATTTGATTACCCTCACAAATAATTTTAATCCCCATATTAAATTCACTTACGAGCACTCGAACAGTGAAATGGATTTCCTAGACGTCAAGTTAACTCTAGCGTACTCGAGATTAAAAACAACATAATACAAAAAACCGAAAAAATAAGAAAGGAATCCTGTACAGTTGGACGTTATATTTTAGGCGACTAAAATATTGGAAGGAGCCCGATATTTCGGAAAAAGCCAGAACACTAGGCCAAGTGTTAATAGTAAATTGCATGTATCCAGTCCCGTTAATAAATGATATAGTTCACAAAGATTGATCAGCTCGTGGAACAGATGCACTTTATGAAATACTCCAAGATAATGAATATAAGTGACAACTTATTGTACCCCACCAGTCCCAACCTCTGAATATAAATCATATTTTTAAATGACATACTAATATCCTACACCCAGAGACTTAGTTTAAAAAAGATTTTCCCCCAACCACCAGATGTCGCCCTTCACAAACCGCATAATCTTACCAATTTATTCAGGCAACCTAGAATCTCTCCTTGGATATAACGGAACACTTTGTGCAGTCCAAAATGTCAAAACAGTCTTTGTTGCTTTTGCAACGATATCAATATTGCTCACTTAATTAAGAGCACAGCAAATACTATCTTTAACTGGAAAATAGAAGGGAATCTCAATTGTAACATGGAAAATGTGATATATTTAATTCAACATAAAACTTGTTCTTTTCAGTATGTGTGGAGAAACTGGAACAAGCATTTGAAAAAGAAAGAACTTAAGTCTCGGGAACCGTTTCTCAGCATTTTAAACATAAGGTACTTTCCGATTTTACCTTCATTATTTTACGAAAGTGGTTTTTGCACCACCCGAGATAGAAAAGGAATCCGAGTATAGATTTATGGATTAACACCTCTCAATCTAAGGGCCCTAAATGAAAGGGAATCTGCCTTTCCTTGATGATTGATTTCAGTTTCTAAAGAACATCATTTGTCTGAATTTTTTTTTTTTTTTTTTCCTAATTGTTTTGTGCAAAATCAGCCATTATCAGATCTCAAAACTTCAACAAAAAATAACTCGTAATAAAGAAAACATACACAGTAATGTTTAATAATAAAAATAATTACATATAAGAAATATGCACATACTACATATATTATTGGTAGCTTTGTACCAAGTGAATAGATGGCACAATCTCATAGTTGAAGTGATGCCTTTTAATATGAGTACACTTTTTGTCTCGTATACTTTGCCTTCTTTCAGTTGAAGTCAAAGAATGCTTGTGCTTAGAGACGACAGGAGGTTTTCTTGTCATCCTCTAATATTTTTGTGTCTCTATGATGTGGAACATTTTCATTATCTTTTTATGCTACACCTCTAATAAAAAGCTGTAGTTTGTTAACCATTTCAACTTTCAAGGCTGCTTTCTGAAAAAGTTATCAACCTTGAAACATTCTGCTTATATAGCTTTCAATACAAAACTTAAAGGCCACTGAAAATAAAATTTTTTTTTTTTTTTAAACAGCCTGGTTTAGACATGCGTGCCCAAAAAGTAATTTTACAGAAATTTTTTTTTTTTTTTTACAGCAATATTGACGGCACGAGACGCGATTTAGTCGATAGTCACCTCCTTTCCACTTGTTTTCTCTCGGCATTTCGGGTGCGTGGAGGAGAGGTGGATCGGCTTCGCCTTCACGTTGAGGTGGAAAGAGCGAATGACCATCTCGATGAGGTCGAAAGAGTGAATTACCAATCCGTGACGTCATGGACTTTGCACGGAGAATTTAAAGAGGCACTGAAGTAATTTTTGAAAAAGGTTGTTTTTGATCTTATATTGTTTAAAATGTGTTAGTTCCCACATATACCAAGTGCTATATTACAAAACTGCCTATTCATCTCAGGGCAATAGAAAAACATGTGGACTCTTTTTCTCGCAGAATACAGTGTGTGGACCAATGAAAGCCCTACAATACGCGCAGATTCTTAATGATTTTATTATAATTTGTTTCGAAGAGAGTCTGTAAGGTAAACATTCAGATAAGACTCCTCTTTTTCTCCGCGGGCGAAGCCATCGCCTGCAACTCGCCGACAAGCGCCCTTTATCGACCACTTCACTTCGAAGAAAATTCTTCCCAAAATGGGCGTGTCGCGATCTTTGAACACGCTTTTAACGAAGAAATAAGCTACGCACGGTTGTGGATTCGAATTTGTTGGGATGCTTAGAGCGTCTAGATTGAGTTGTCACCACAAAAGGACGATCCCAGAATCGACTTCAGTGCCCCTTTAAAATAAATCTCGCGCCAACAATATTGCTCTAAAATTTTTTTTTTCCGCACAAAATGAATTTTTTGACACGCGTGTCCCAACCAGACCCAGACTGTTTAAAATAAACTTTTTTTTCTTTTCCAGGGCTCCTTAAGCATTGTCCAGGCTCCAGGAGGTTCTAGTTTTTATTTCCTATGAATCACAAGCCTTTTTTTATAGGGAGCTGCCAAAATTTCAATTTATGTGCTCAAGACTCATCAGACTGGTTTACATCTGAGTAACCTGAAAGCTAAGCTCCAGACATATTACACGTGCTGTAATGTGAACCCTGTATAAGCATAAAAAAAAACCTTGCAATTTTACCATTCCCCGAGCAAATTAGCTGTTTCTGGAATTCCTACTTATTAGGAACACAGCTCGGGAAAAAAGTGTATGCACTTTTTTTGGGGAAAACAAGCACACAGCTCCAAAGATGGTATGTAGCGATTTGATAGTGGTGATAGTAACGGAGGATCTTATTGAGAATGTGACCCCAGATAGTGGTTCACTATAGGTACCTGAAAAGTAAATCACCAATAGAATGATTAAATTATTTTGGATCCTCTATCCTCCTCTCGATACAGTGTCGCTGCTTTCTCCATGGCATTCTCTAGATGACAGATTGGATCTCTGCAGTTTTCATAGAAGTTTCCATTGTTCATACTACAGGAACTGGCATTCCAACTTACCAATAAAGACCGACAGAAAGAAGAGATGCAGGGGTATTCCCACCACAGGTGATGCAATATTGAGGAACCAATTGGGTGTCATCGGAAACAGACGCAAGAAGAGGAGCCAGTAGAGAAGGCGACTCCTATTTTCTTTCACCTGTTCAGGAAAACGATAATGCAGTCATAGTTGGACCAACAGAAGAAAGAAACTGCTAGGTCGTGGTTTATACTTCGAATAAATTTTAAAAGGCACTCGACGGAAAAGAAATGCAACACAGACGTCTGTATTTTGTTACAAGTTCTTAAAGGGACAATGAACTCTCCCAAAAATTTTTGTGTAAATGCCTGGATAGGACACGTGCCACAAAATAAACTTAAAAAAAAGCATTAGCACAATATTTGCCGCACATGGTGAGACTCGTTTGAGTGGTTCCAAAACATACCTCCATTTCAGGGTCAATGTCTCAAATTAGAGGCATGTTTCGCAATCGCTCTAAACTTAAAATGTGTTGGAATGTAAACATTGTGCTAAAATTAATCCTTGTTCATAACCAACAAACACGCATTAGTTTCTCCTATCCACGCAATAGCAGCTGTTGAAACAAAGTAGAGAAAAACAAGTAACATTCACTCCCTCAGCTTGCATCAAGGTGGCAATAAGGGCGAGTTGGCTCATCGTCAGAAAGGCAAAACAGCACGCAAAGAACGAAGACAGAGAATAAGTAGTAGTCTCGCGATCATTCAGTGCACAACAGTTCCGGTAGACAGGTCAAGCACCTTTCGTCAGCGGGGTTTCCATCTACAGTTTTGATAGCTGTTGCGGGCACTTTGCTCAAAAAGATTAAGGGAGGGCTATGCCATCTAAAGGAAAGCCTCAGCAAAAGATTGCAAGCAAGGATCTCCCACAATCTAAGAAAGTTGCACAGCGGTATGATATCATGTTCTAGAGTTGCTAACAAGAGTGGGAATAAGGCCTTTCATTCTGTTAAACACAAAAATAAATATGTGGAGTGTGTGGGTGGTGCTGTTTAGGAGATACCACTTATGTGTGGAAGAGGCTACATTGGCCAAACAAGCCAATGAATAAAGGATGGGATGCGCGTGCACTACTGGACCCAACGGGCAACAGCTGGAGGTCATTTACCGCTCCACGGTACAGGTTGCAGATGTCAACCTAACTTCAAACAGGTCATAAATATTGGAAGGGGCTCTCAACTGAACTAAATGTTCAGTTGAGTAAGAGCTTATTTTGTGTAGTTTCTTATTATGCCTTACTTCTTTGCTTGCTGTTTTTACTTTTTGGCTCAAGCTGCAATTAGGAGAAATGGCTATGTGATCTGGTGCCGATTATGTGCCGCCAATGTTCATCATACACGCTGGAGTTAGCCAAGCACAGGGCACATGCCAGGTTAAGTTCCAAACATTGTTAGGGTTCGGCTACTCTTGCGATTGCAGTGATTGGAACAGTGGCTTAGCCAGAAAAAAATTTTCGGGGAATGCTTTCAAAATGTTACTGTGATAATAAAAAAATAATATACTGTAAAATACCGGACAAGCGCCCACTCAAACTTTGGAGATAATCGAAAAAAAATGGGGGATGGGCCCTTCTCTGGTCATAAATTTTACATATAAATGTACTGTGTGCATTTTCTCCTACAAATTTGGGAATGGACGCTTAGTGTGGCGTGGGCGGATGCACGGTATTCTACGGTGCATGTGTGTGTGTGTGTGTGTATATATATATATATATGTGTACACACACTTTCCCACGACAAACACCCGCCTTTACTATAAACTATGATCCCTACATAGGAAAGCGCACAGGAGACTCCAAAAACACAATTGCAAATGAAACATTTTAATACATGGCTTATAAAACAGAAAAAGTTATGATGGACAAAGATTTGAATATAAGATAGAAAATAAAAGGTTTGGATATATACAGCAAATGCGACAGTAGAAGTGAATAACTTTCGTCGATCTTCCTACTTCAGATGCGTTCATAAAGCAAATGAATGTTCTGATGAAGTGAGCTGCTTATAGTAGAGAGAGGGAGAGAGCATCCCCCTCTCTCTCCCTCTTCCCCTCCTCCTCCTCCAAAAAACAACTGTTGCAGAATGTGCTAGAGCTGTCGCTCTTATATTTTTTTTTCTTTCCACAAGAAAGGTCCTCTTTTCCTTCTCTTTTGAAGTTCTGCAGGAGCACCATAGTGACCATAGCTTCATGTTTATTTATTTATTTGCTGCATGAAAACTGTTTTTCTGCAAGATTGTGCTGGGCTGGCCCAGTCCTTGAAGCTGACTGGAAAAGGGTATTGGATGAGGGATTTTTCTTTTCTCATAACTTGGAAAAGAAAGGCTATGGCCTCAGCCAGCCAATAAGAATGTTTAAAAATGACACATGTAACAATGTGCAGACTTGCCACGTACTTAGCTCTTATGCTCAGATTAATTCACCAGGGCATTAACTTATGCCTTTTGTCAAGTTAAACTGTGATTGAATAGAAAGACAAGGAAACTGCTCAAGACGCCCAGAATTTCAGGGTGAGATAATTTGCGTCTCTGGATGCTGAGGTTAGGTTTTCAAGCCTTTGTCCTTTTGTAATGCCGTGCGCCGAGCCCCCTGCTCCCTGCGATCTTGCGGAATTCGGGCACTAATCAGGTTCTGTTTGGCGATAAGCTTTGCATCCGGATTGAATTATTTTTGGCGTTTGAGTCAAAGCGTCTAGACTCCAAACACGCGAAGATTGACTGGTTTCGAAATGCTGCAAGCCGAGGCATGGAAGAAATAGCGAGCGTCCGAAAAAGAAAGCAGCGGCGGTGGGAAGGGGGGGGGGGGGGGGGGGGGGGGGGGGTAAGAATAAAATTTCGGGGGGTGTTCCGACACCTCAACACTGCCCCTAGCTGTATGAACGTTCATCGCAACATTGATTGTGACGAGCCTAAATTGAGTGCTTGTTTTGTGCCCAATCTATTATCCACATTGGAACATTACCACCATGGAGTAATCCCCATGACTATGTCAACACTGCTATTCTTATTAATATGTCATCAAGTTTAGTGAAGAGACTGAAGGAAAAGTCTGCTTTTATTCTTGAAACTACACAGCGACAAGGAAGGTTCTTGGCCAGTTATGTTACGAGCCGCTAAGTTCGTGTAAAGTGAGAAACATTCAAACTTAATATTGTTGCATGGCTCCTTACAAAAAAATAATTTGGGGGAAAGGGGGGATCAGTGTCCCTTTCCCTTAGGCGAGTTGTAAGAAACTGAAGATTTTGCTTGAGCAGAAAATCTTAACATTAGACTGAGTCAGACCTGCTGTCAATCAGTTGTTGCTTCAAGGAAACTGTGAAGTGACAACAAACATTTTAATGATTTGCTTGACAAGTAATGAGAAAGCTATACACTAGCATGACCTGGGATAGGCAAGATTAAAGGAGCACTCTTTTTTCTGTCAATATAGGACAAAAATAGCTGAATTCTGAGTGCCGCCCAATCGCCCTGGGTGTTTCGTTTTCGTAACCTCCGGAATTCACTTAAGGATGGAATTGTTGCAAAAACTTTAACCTTCATGGCCTTGGGCATGGTGGAATAATTGTGGCTCCAAAATGTTTCAGAAAAAGATGAGTCTAGCAAAAGACTTCACAAACAGAAGACCTAACAAGAAAAAAACCTTTTGTATTCTGTTTGTAGACGAGTGCCGTTTTCATGGTGGCAATCAGTTCATTGAACGACGTTTCATAGACACGCAATGTTTCGACAGCTCAGCTTAGCTTTTTTGTGTAATAAGCCGCCTCAAACTGTCGCCGTGAAGCGGCATGCACAGCTGGACAGCTTTTTTGTGTAGTGAGCTGCTGCAGACTATTGCTCTGAACGGGTGGGCTGGACAGGTTAACGCACACCCCAGTTTGCGCCCCAGTGATACATGTGCGACGAAATGCCCCTACAGCATGCAATTCGTGTAAAAAAATGTCAATGAAATGTTAGTGTCATCAAAACGTGTCCACAAAAAGTTGTCCTCGAAACGATAAGGATACCATTTTTATATGCATCAAACATTTAAAGTAAGAGCCAAAATATGTATTAGGATATGTACACCAATTAGGATGACTTACTGAGGTGCAACCCTTCATTGCAGCCGTGGTGAATGATTATTTGGCAATGTTTTACCATCGGCAATTATGGAGAGGGTACGCAGCTTACCTTGTTTTGCAGAAGTGCTACTTTGTCAGGGAAATAGTACTCGACATATTGGCGACCGCAAAACTTGGACAGGAGATAGCACTGCGAGGCTCCCATTGCTGACAGCGTGCATGTCAACAGAAAGCTTCTCCAAATTCCAAACAGAGCACCGGCTAACACATTCTGGAAACCGAAAATTCAATCAGCCTCAGAAATGCTAAATGAGACACACTGGAAGAGTAACTAAACACAGGAGTTAGTACAGCAAACATATTACCAGAAACACTGATCCTGGGATGGCAAAGGTTTGCTTGTACAAGTATGCCGAGGAAAACAGGACAATGACGTAGACAGCATGGTTCTGGTTGTAAGAATTAAGCAGCTCAGCCAACTCTTTGAGATCTTGGTGGCTGCTTGGAAACTTCAGGCGACTCCTGGAACACCAGAAGCAAAGTGACCACCGAGCAAGCGACGTGTACGCGTCAGCAAGAGGCCGGCTCAAATTCTACTCACGCGTGATCTTCGTTTCCTACGCTCGGGAGGAGGACGGTCAGCAGATACAACCACCCTGTCGCGGCAATCACAGAGATCGGCAACACCACAAGTGGTGTCATTTGCCTTTTTGTCGACGCATTCACCTTGAAAACAAGGGGGCGAAGAAGGTGGGCGTACTCTGATACCAGATTGACCGCACCCGATTTTCTTTCTTCGTTGGTTTTCACCTCCGTGAAATTTAATCAGTAACCGTTATTCACGTGTGCACCTTCGTGCAGCGTCAGATCTGTCGCATTCGCCGCCTCCGCATGAAGCGAAGTTCATGACGCTGTTCGGGAAAAATTTAAACCCGGAAAGAAAGTGCCACACGGAGCGCACACTTCTCAAATAGGAAAAGGCAATGAAAGTTTTAACACGTTTGACACCGGCTTGGAAAGTACCGTCGCCATAATGCCAAAATGTGACGTTTCTTGACGTCATCGCAAGCAGTTTCCGCCCGTTCGTTGGTTGACCCGTTGACCTGAATCACCTGAATCTGCCGACTCCACCCATCGATCTCATCATCACCACCCTGACTGCCCTGATTGCGTCATTGGAAGGCAAACCCAGCAAACCAGCAGGGCAAACGGGGCAAACGCGGAAATTCCGTGTTATCTTGCAAATGATTGTGTAACTGAATGACCTTGAGAGCAACCGTACCAACGTGCGAAGGTTAACTGGATCGCTGCATGCATCTTTTTACGACCTTCAAAAGTTTTTTCTTTAATCAAAAATTACTTTAATTTCATTATGGGGTTTGATGAAAACTGTACAATTAAAATTAATTGGCATACATCGATCTGCCGTTGCTTCGCTGATTTGAGAAACGTAACTATTCAGCTTTCCGCAAATATCCGTGCTCTAATCTTAACTGATAATAGGAGTAACAGATGCTATTGTGCATATTTGCCGTTGATATTTGCCAAAGTAACGTTGATAGGTAGTCCCGTTCTATAGCAACGTTAGCAACACTGGAAGCGCTATATTAGCAAAGTAGGCAAAGCGTCCAATCCAATCCATATCAATCCTTCCGTGTGTCGTGGTGTGTGCTGGTCCACGGACCGCGACCTCAAGATCTCTGGACTGGTACCATTCAAATCGTTTGAGCTTTCCAGTACTTACATCAGTGTGGAAGTGCGGTCGTCGTTTTATTTTAACGATGGATAGGCGCAAGTTACTAGTCGCGCTTTCTCGGCTTAGCGGGCTTGGTACGCGTCGCATAAGCCAGCGCGCAGCCAACGTTTGTCGCGGCGGTCAGACCTGCGAGCGCTCGATGAACTTGACCTTTCCACGTCGAAATTTTTCGGCTGGTTGCTCGTCTCTGTTAAAAGACGAAGCCGTGAACCCGGATTCAGAGAAAGACGCAAAGTCCAAGCGGCCTCCCATGGAACCTGATGATGAAACTCGATCAATCTTGAACGATATCTGGCACGACTTCGAGTGTGTACCCACAAAACCGAACCCCGTCGGAAGTGGAGGGTCCTCTGGCGCCCCGACACCCGCGGTGCCAGCGTCGCCGAAAACAGAAGTCCCCAAGGAGAGGACCGACAGCGGCATCCAGATTCAGAACCTGCTCCATTCCGCGAGGGCGAATGCCAAGAAATTGTACTCGGATGAAGACGCCACGGTGATCCTGGACGCCGCCGAAACGACGACCACGCAACTTAGCGCCGGACAGGGCATTGAATACTTCCCGGAGAACGTCAAAATTGACCCGTTTGAAGGGTTGAACCTTGAACGTGAGGACGAACTCCTTCGTAACTCTGCTTGTGCATAAGAAGCTGAAATTTCTGTGATCTGTTTGATTGGTAAGGTTAGGTGCTCAATATATTAAGATAGATACTGGTTTACGTGTTATAAATGAACAAATACTGGTTAAGGTTACTTCGGGGGTAATCCCTAATAAACGTCAAAATTTTCTTAATATCTCATCGGAGGCTGCACATTTCGAGGCCTGCTCTTTTAAATGTGCATGCAAGTTTTTTTTTTTTTTTTTTTTGTTTTTTACTACGGTGTTGCGCAGACATTTACTTTTTGCTTTTTTTCTGCTTAGAACGTTTGTTAGTTAAACATTTGCATGTTGTTTCAGGGAATACAACTTTTGGGGTAAGGCTACATTGCACTAATGCATATCCTGAGTTACATTCCCCGGAACCAACTAATTTAAAGAAACGGTAAATCAACTTTATGATTTCGAGCAACGCTTACATTATATTTTGTGTCGTACATAGTTTTGTCCGATGTAGTGAAGTTGTTTTTTCTTTTTTTTTTCTTTCTTTGTTGCTACCCGTGCTCTGAACTAAACAATAAAGCTTAAAACTGAAAAATTGCAAAGTTATCAACGGAATAACTCTATACTTTTAAATATCATGTGTGCAATAAACTTTACTACGCATGCAACATCAGAAAAATTTGGCATAACCTACTAAAGTGACAATTTTACCAAAAGTGTACTCTCCCAACGTGTCTAACAACACACAAATAGTATTCCATGGTTCAAAATACTGAATTTTCTGTTATCAATTTAATGGCCAATTCGTCTGGGCCCGCATCGCACCGGTGCAGTGCGGTTCGTGGTATATGGAAGGCTAGAGGGGAGCTTCCCCCTCTCCCCGCCAGCCTCTCGTGTACTAAAGTGGAAAGAGATTACTGCACTGGACGGGTGCGGTGTGCCCCAGACCAATAGGCCATAAGTTTGTGTTTCACAACCCCTTATGTTAGTGGCACCAAGAAGCTACAACAGTGCAGTCCCAATGCTGAGAAAGTATTGGATGCTATAAATTTCTCATAGTGCACCTGAGAACACTAGTACTAAATATAGTACCTACACATAATTGGGGTAACCATTGATCACAGGCTCACCTGTTGCTGTTAAGCAGATCTGCAGTGCCAAAGCAGATTAAGGTCCCTTATTGCATTCCTTCTGCCTTCAGTGTGCTTTTTAGGATTGTATAAGTATCTGAGTTTTCTGGTGCTACAGGGCTCTTAGAGTTGATTATGTTTACCACCTTAAAACAGATGCGAGAGAGCTTGGATCAAATTTCCCGTTGCTCGACAGGTATGCTTTGAGAGCCCTAGGCACTCAAAGCAGAGTATTAGCTCGTTTTTGTTGAATGTCCTCTAGCATAACTTGATGTTGGATTTTTAAGTCGGTATTGTTAAAGTGAATTTGAGCATGTGATTTCTTTTTCCCAGTCTAGAATCTTGGAGTAGAAAAACAAATTAATATGAAATGCAAAATATGAACGTGGGAAGTGTCTAACATATGAACTGGTTCCAAGTGTTAAAAATTATTTTTGATTGCAAAAAAAAAACAAAAAAAAAACCTGCAATTATGATTTTTTTTTTTTTTTTAAGCCTGATGTTAAACTAGTTAGGAGCAAACTTATCTTTGTTTCTGTGGGGATTAGCTCCCACAGCCACTGGGTTCAGTTGAGGAAAGGGGACTGTGCAAGAAGGAAATGGGACCATTTATGAGCCGGGCTGGGAATAGTTGTGTATGCTGGACTTTGACATTTAGCTTAGATAATAGGCTCTTGCTCAGAGTATACTAAATTTATTACGAGAAATTGAATAATGAAATTCTGTCCTGCTTTTCAGGTGGGGAGTCCGGAGTCTTTGAAGTAGAAGAGTTGGTCGAAGTGCTCAGGGATGAGAAGCTGACAGACATAGCCGTAATTGCGGTGCCAGAGGAAATGGTGTACACGGACTACCTTGTGCTGTGTACAGCAGTATCACCACGTCACTCCCGTGGTGTTGCAGAATTCCTGAAAAAACTGGCAAGTATCTGGACTGCTCTGTTACAGCAGATATTAAACCATCTAGCACAGGGGTGGCCAAACCGCGGCTCGCGAGCCGCATGCGACTCTTTGCTGGTCACGGTGCGGCTGGCGGATCCCTCGTAAGGGGACCCCCCCCCCCCCCCGTCCCTTTCCGCGTTTCCCCAGGAAAATGGAAATGATTTCAGAATCGGCAGCCTTGTGCCCCCATACGTACAGTCGAACCGCTTTTCTCTCGTATGTTTCCACATATCCGGTTTCTTTCATTGTTCGAGGGAGTTTGCCAGACCCTAGGGGAAAGGCATCAAGGACAGCGACTGTCAAAACATGCATGCACTTTGGCTTGGGGTCGAGGAAATGTTCTGTCTCGCGGCCTTTGTCACTCGCCGGTGATACTTGTCCCCTTTAGGTAATGGATGTTCCCTTCATATCGTTTATTGCTGAAGGTCGCGGAAGCCCGGGTTGACCTCATTCATAGCTTTCACTAGTCACAAACGTTATATTCAAGTTCACAAAGGACCAGGAACATTCTCATTATTTTTACCGGCTTTCAGTTGTGACCCGCAAGCTCCTTTTTTATGCTTTCGAAAAGGGGGGGAGGGAGGGGGGGGGGGATAACCAGGTAGCGGTGTTTGTTTTGCCCCCCCCCCCCCCCCCCCCCCCCCCTTTTCAGAGGCTCATAGAAGTTTCGTGGTTACCTTTGCGGCTTTTAGGCCGGGTCAGCCTGGCCACCCCTGATCTAGTAGAAAACCCGAATATGCGCGGTATGCTTGCTGGACCTTTGTGTTTCAAGCTAGACAGTAAGGTCGAGAGAGGGCAAAAGTGAAGAAAATACAAGTAACATGGTAGCGATAGTTGAAGGCTTAATGACACAGCATAAACAAGGGCCACAGCGATCAATGCAAGATTTTGAGGGAGTAGGTGGGATGTTAAGGATAAGTCCCTTTGCAAGAGGACAACAGATGGTTTTATTATCATATCAGATCACAGTTGTCTGCATATATCTGATAGTTGCTCTGAGATATGTTGGTAGTCTATACAAATTAAAAATATTAATGAGAGTTCCTGCAGTGCATTGCAGGTTAACACCGCAGCGTTGCTTCATGCAGCAAGCAATCATTGTACTATAACCAACTTTTCTGAGCATATACACTTCCATGGGTGTCTAGCAACTAACTGAAATTAGAAATTCTTCTACTACTCTCTACACATACTTTTGTGTTTCTGCTACATGTTGTCTTGCTCTTCTTTTATTTACTGAAATTATACCCATGCAATTTCAAACGGTTAAAAAACAGTTAGTCAGAAGGCATACATGTAGCCATGACTGCAGATGTTTCAATATACGCATATTGTACTATAGACCTTAGCAAAAATCGCCTTCTGGGCTGTTGCTCTGCTGTGCAGTATATCAGACGCTCTGCATGCATCCACAGCTCAGTGACTCAGTATCTGTCCTTCCCTTCGAGCGATGGAAAGGTCTATATTAGGCATTTACATAACTTACTATAGTCGGTTACAAGTCGAGAAGGTAGAAGCTCCTCCCGTGAGCACGATGCGCCCGTTTCAAATCCATCCGCAGTCGAAAGAATAGTTCCCTGGAAACGCCCCTTGTTCCGCTTTAATGAATAGATAATGGCTACAGTGTGATGCCAACTTGTCTCTGACTCCCACGTTTTAAAAAAGTGACCTTTGTATTCATCGGAGAAAGAACCGAGCCCCTGAAAGTGGCCTTTGTATCCATCGGAGGGGGAACCTAACCCCCCAAAGGTCGTATTTGTTTCCATCGGGGGGTGGGATTCTAATCTTCTCGTGGCTTCCATAAGGTTAAGTCAAAGTCGAAAGATAAAGCAAATATTCACAGGAAGGCAAAGCCCTCTCCCGCGTTGGCCACGACGTCACGGAAACAATGGGACACTACTGGATGCGGAGGTGGCGGAGAAATATAAGAATCCCTTTGAGGGGCATTTGCCGCTACCTTCTTGACCTGTAACCTACCATAGGTCATCGGGCATGCCTTCAGTGACTGAATGTTACGAATTACAGAATTTCAGTCAGTGGGTATTTCTAAATTCAAACATTTGTTCAGTATTGTGAAGATGCTGTCTCTTCCTTCACAATACTTGAAGCATGTTACAGTTCTGTCTCTGCACAGCTCAAAAGCCTTCACATAATTTGTATGTCATTGCAAGGTACAGCTCTATATCACGGACCATTGTGTGGTGTACCGATCCCTCATTTTTTCTTTGCATACAAGTGAATCCACTAATGATAGATGTTTGTTTCATTGTTCACACAGTACAAGCGCAAAAAAGACAAGACTGATCCAACTCTGTTTATCGAGGGCGAGCAATGTCCAGAGTGGAAAGTCCTCGACATGGGAAATGTTGTTCTCCACATCTTCCTGCCCGAGGCACGTGAGCATTACGACATCGAGACCCTGTGGACTGTCGGCAGCACCTATGACGACCTAACTCACAGTAAGGATGACCCGGTCTTCAACATGCTGCAGCAGCAGATACAGCTGCTCCAAGAAATTAAGCCCAAGGATGCCCAAGATCTCCGGAATACGGCTGTACAACATTGATTTAGTGTGTTTTCTTTTCTTTTATTTTTGCTAAGCTCTCAATATTTTAACACTCAGCTTAAGGTTCAACTGAAAGAAGGTGAAAAAAAAAAAAATTGTTTTCCAGTAGTATTACAGTTGTTAAGATTTGTTTTATTTGTTGTGGGTGTTGCAGTGGACTAGAGGTCCACACTACAAGTGTTACTGTGGCAGTTACTATTATGAATAAAAGGTTGTTTTGCCTTTACGACTTGCTTGACTGCTCAAGCCCAGGTACCACTTGGTAACTGCCAATGTTTGTCCAAGTGGCATGACTGTTACAACAACAAAAAGCACCTAATAGCTTTCATATTCAAAGGGGTGGAGATAACTGCACAGGATGTCAGTATCATTTGCTTCTTCAGGGAGTGTCTGACAGTGTAGGCCAGTGTTATCTGCAGGAACACCAAACTGGTTTTGAATGACTGCTGAAAATCCTCTTCCCCCCATTTGGCATGGTTACAAAAAAAAAGCAGTTCAGAGGCCTACATTTTGTTAATTATAACTAAGGTTTAGTGTTTTTGGAATATGTTGATAAACCCCTAAAATAAATCCCCGAGCCGGTTTTCTTGAAATCTGGGAAAACTAAAGAACCTCCTTCTGGGTCCTTTGATATTCCTAGTCTATATATATGATATAATTTCAAACCTTAGACTATTTGTAGACGACTGAATTATTTATATAATTAATTCCAACAATATTAATACTTTACAAAGTGATCTCAACAAAATTTTTAACTGGTGTGAGAAAGGGAGGGTTATTTTAAATATTAAAAAGTGCATTCACATAAGATTTACCAAGAAAAAAAAGATGCTTAATAATGAAATAATTAAAGTTAGCTTGCACTTAAAGTACTTGGGTGTTATGCTATCCATTAAATTGTGAAAAAGAAAATTATTAAAAAATCAAATTTGTATTTAAATCACTGTAGGTAGAAAAAGTTTTTTTATAACTAGATGTATTTTCAGACATACAGATGAATTGATCAATTCACCCAATCATTACAAACAATGTAAAATAATTGCTATACACTTAAACTTTTAAAGTAAGCTCACTACTAGAACAAAAGCTTATTTTTATTTTATTAAATATTAATCTTTTTAAAGTTTTGGTTTGTTTACAATAAAACTACTTTTTTGTCCGATTTTAACATTCCGATTTGTTTACAAAATGACATAAGGCAACTGACGAAGTGGAAGGTAGAAAGAAAGTTCAACACTTTGATTTGCTCGAGCTCAGCCTGCTATAAACTTTTCTTGTTGATGAATCTTCGATTTAAACACAAAACAATTGCACATAGAAAACATTACATGATAGACAAATGGCAAATAAGAATATTTTGGAGATTATTTTTGTAGGAAAGGCAGTGATTTCCCTATGCACCCCTAGGGGGGGGGGGGTGTTCACAATTTGCAACAACTCCTCTATCCTCAATGCCCCCCCCCCCCCCCCTAAAAATTTAGACACACCCCTAATTTCAATTCCTGGGAAAAGGTTTGATTTAAATAATCATAGCAAACGGATGTTATTAAAAATTATGATTTAAATCGTCTTGGATTTTATTCTCCACCCTAACATGAAAGAGTCATGTTGAAATGATAGTCCTCAATTTAATTAAACCTTTGACAAGCTTCAACCCGATAAAGTAAGCTATATTTTATTTTTATTCGTCCACGCATTGAATATGCTTCAGTAGTTTGGGTACCCCACCGTAAATATTTAACAAAAACTTGAAATATATAAAATCAATGTGCTAAATTATCATGAATTCGGAGCAAGCGTCACCAGCATGGAGGCGGCCTTGCATTAGGAGTTGCTTAGTGAATGAAGAAAATCTTTGAGCCTAAAATTTCTAGATGATATTTATAAGATAAACTCTCTATTAGTAAAAGGGATGTTTTACAGGAACTGTTTTATGTATCGGGAAGGGCGAATGACTCAAACTCCGACCACACTCCTTTCACACCTGATGGGTTTTCTTTCTTCCCCCCGAGAAATATTAAAGAGTGGAATCAGCTGCCTAAAGATGTATAATATTCTTAACGCGTGTTGGTAAAGTATACTAGATAATAGAAAGAATAAAACATAGGACCAAACACAGACGAGTAAAGATATATCTTGACAAATTTTCTATTGTTAAAATGATTCTTCGACTTGCATTTGATAGATAGTGCTTTTATTTTCTTAGTCATTTTTGGCAGTGCGTCTTATATCCCAGTTGTGCTATATATATAATTTTTTTTAAAATTCCAGTGATGTTTTTATGAATACTTTTTGTGCATTAGAAGTTGTGTACTAGTTGTGGTTTGGTGTATTTTCATATATACAGTATATATATATATATATATTCCAGTGATGTTTTATTAATGTTTGCAAAACCGACCCTCTGCTAAAATGCCTCGCAGTAATGCAGGCTTCTTTGTAAATAAATAACCACGAATTTGAACAGTCTTGAAATACGAAGCACCCAATCTTTATACGAGAAAAAACCTTAAGGCCCATCAGTTTATTTTGCATTGATCTGGAACACGGGCCACTTCTTTTATTTGGGAGTTGCACCCCTTGTCCCATTTCTTCTTTTATTGGTAAGAGAAGGAAATCGGATGTTCCCTTGTGGTTGGGAAATCCAACCCCCTTATCTCCAATAAACACCAATATTTTGTCAAACACTGACTCTGTCAAAAAAAAAACTTTCCCTCCCTCTCCCTCTCTCCCCCCCCCCCAAAAAAAAAACAACAAAAACAAAAACAGCAAAACACACACTATACTATATGGAGCATGTGTTTGATATGCGTCAATGTGCGACTCAGTTAAAGTTAAAACAATGCTTAAACTGGGAAAACACCGATTAAGGGTATGGACAAGTGTCAGCGTCAGTTTCCGACGTGCCTTCTGCTGCTAGTAAGATGGTGGCACATCGGGTTGACTAGGCCGATATTACTGTCATCTTGCTAGGGTCAAACTAGCTCCACCTCAAGAGCTCCCTCTCCAGTCCAGCAGCTCTTCATAAACTTTCCTTGGGCTCCTTTAGAAAATCACCTGCATTAAATTATCCCCAAGATCAAATATTATATTCTACCTGACGTGGCATGGTGGGGGGCATTGATTAGCACAAGCAAACACAAAGCTCTGAAAACTGCTTCAGCTAAGCCAACTTGTATGAAGTAACAGGCCCCAATGCTAAGCATGCATGAGATTACTTTCCCCACGGCAATGATGCCCAAGAATCCATAATTCCAAATACAAAAACATCAATATGCACAGATACATATACATCCACAGAAAGTTTGTTACCAAACAACTGCCCAATGAAGTGGTTCCCAGGGCTGCAAAGTTTTCATAAAAAGTTTTGATAATTTGTGAACTAAAAAAGTTCGGCAGAATCTAGTGGAAATGGAACCGCAAACAGAGAGCAAAGCAAGAGACAAAACAATTCAGCTTCTAGTGACCTCCAGGCCACTTCATATAAGATTCTTAAAACCAGAGTGCAGTGCCACAAAGGAATTAATATCAACCCCATTCCCAATGCCACAGAAATAAAATTTTCGGGGCCTTGCACGCCTGACATGCCCCAGCAAAGGACTGGAGATCTGATGCACAAATAATCTCAGCTACACACATTGCAGTAAGCCTCAGCCATACTGTGGTCACCTTGGGCAGGTTTCAAGCTAGGTTGGTCTGTAGGTTGTCATTTTGCCTCGAACTCAGAGGCGGCACCGAACACCACTGATGACAACATCAGTGTAGAGCAGGTGTCTCCAAACCTTGGCCCATGAAAGAATGCAAGAAACCCTGGTCCCAAAAGAAACTGCATCGTAACGCTGGTCCTCTCATTGTATTAATTGAACACTGTCATTACCACCATCACCATCCATAGTACCCTACTTCATGTTTAACTATGTTAAAATTACTTTGCATTTTCATGTACCATTGTGCTTCACGTCCTCTGTCACAGCTATTACATATTGTTAGCGTTAGCTTTATAATTATGTCTTTTGCACTGCACAAATGTCCCAAAGCTTTCATATATGCCTATTGGGCAGGAGATCGAACTATAGGGGGCGCTCCAACCATTTTGTTTCCCCACACTTCGGTGTTTACTCCACACAAGGCCTGTGCACATGCCCACTGGCCTTACGGGCATGTCCATGTCATCTTCTACAATAGAGCGCGGGGCACAGTGCAATGTAAAAAAATACTAACTATCAACGAAGTGACATTAAGTGCCGGATCTATTCCGAAAGCAGTCGTCGGAGAATGCGAGCTTGACCCACTTCGGCTTTTGTGCCGAGCTGGACACTGTGCATGCTGCATTGTTCATGCAGGCCAGAGTGGGAACAAAAGAGCCCCTCCTCCCCCTCACCGGAGAACACAAACTCTAGCCGAACGCCGCCGCCGCGTTCGGTTATGTCGGCCGAGCGCCGAGTCGTTGTATTTGTTGTCCCCATCCGTGTAGTTGTAAAGTTAACCGCTTGGGGCGTCGCAATTTCTCCTCCTTCCCAATAGCGAGTTTTCTAGGTCACAATTGTTGTGCAATGTTATTAGCTAAATTATTAAATTTCAAATTCTAATATATGTACTCATTGACCTCAATTTTCTTTGTAAAACTAACATTTATTTATGTGCCTAAATTCTTATGAAGGATTATATATTTAGATTTTCGTTTAGAATTCCTTCTTTTTTTCCTGGCCCTCGAGACAGACCGTGAATCCGGCCCCTTATCCAAAAAGTTTGGAGGCCCCTGGTGTTGTCTTGGAACAAGTTTATGCAAAAACGCACACCATGTGAATTAGCCTGAAAGGGACACAGCACTAAAAAAAAAAAAAAAATGCTTTCCTTTACCTGCCTGGTTAAGACATGTCAAAATGCATCTTCCCCAAGAAAAAAGACTTCTGCAATATTTTCAAATTCAGACCAATTTCGTCTGCTGGAACGTGCCGGCTCTAAAAGGACTCGTGTGGACAAAGTACAGACAAAACAGAAGCAATTTTGGAAGCCATTGGAAAAAAGAAATATCGGGGTTTTGCACGCAAAGCAACAGACTATGAGCACGCCCCAAAGGCTCGTTGGGGAAGGGACCGCGCAGGCTTTGAACCCTGCATCTTGTACTCCGGAGGTCGAAAGGGAATGTCTCGGCCATGGAAGTGGTCCTTCCATTGGCCGAGTGAAGCATAGAAAAGAGGCACATCCCCACATACCTTTCCTCTGTGCCTTTGTCCTTTGCACTCCTTGAAAAGGCGATAAAAAATATGGAGGGCGCAGAATGTGGAGCGGAGGACAGCTAGTACATTGCTGCCAGGGTGGCATGTGCCTAAATTATGTTGCAGCATTATTATAGTTTGAAAAAAATTCAGGAGAAAAGGACATCTTGTAACATACATGGCCTACCCAAAAAGATTTATTGGGATTTATTGCAAGATTTAAAAATCCCACAACTAGTTGCAAGACTTGGTCTGCTTATCAGTATGTAAAAAATTATCTGCTGTAAATATCAATAGGATTGCTACCCTTGTGAATAGACTGTAAGTAGTAGCCTTGTCCTTCCAGAGATCATGCAGAAAGCATTCAAGTTTTGCTGTTTTTATTGTTTATGTACTTTGTATATAAGATTTAAATTACACAACACCACAAACACTATGTAACAAGCAGAAAGGAAAGTGTTATACACGTGCAGCAAAATTGAAATTACATCAGCAACAGAAGGGAAAAAAAAAAACTTGTATATCTTGTCCAAACATATGCTTCACAAAGAAGCAGTTTCTGGTGCTCCAAATGCAAGAAACAGGAGCAACCTCTTATATTCCCTAAACGAGAATGAAACTTGGTAAACTAGAAATCTCGCCTCCTCCACAGCCCCTCCCCCAAAACTGAGGTCAATAATCAGGGGAAAAAAATATGAAGAAACAAAACAAAATGTCGCACATCCAAGCAATAATTCAGCCAACCCAACACTGTGACGTCAACCAAAACAGTTTGATGTTCCTCCCACCTCCCTGCCCACTTCCAAGCTTAGAGTTGGAATGACAGTGGTCCGACCGACATACCACCAAACAGCCACACAAAATAAAATCAGGGTGGAGTTTTCCTTCCAGAAGTGAGAAGGGAAGTCACAGAACCTACAGAATGCCTCCACATAAGTCCAAAGATCTTGGTTAAGTGAAACACACATGCACACACATATACACACACACACACTGAAAAAAGAAAATCAAAGAATGCCTCAAGAAATGCACAGAAATTATGCAAGTCAACCTAAGAGTTGGGTGACCATTAACATTTGCAGTATGCCAACACATTATGAAGTGGAGCACCCCAAAGCTGCATTTCATTGGCCTCAATTTGTCATTTTTTCTGAAATACTAAGTAGACTACAAAATGACAAAAACAAATATTCATGCCATAAGTGGCATTTTTACTGCAATATAACTTGCAAAGAAAAACAGTTCAATACCAAAAGGCTAATAATTTAAATGTTGTAAAACAAATCATTACTAAAAACAATTAGCATCTTTCGATCCGCTGAAAATATATGCATGAAATGCCTAGCCCCAAGAAATAACTAACTGGCTTCCCACGCACCACGACCTGAAATCATGCAAGTGACAGGCAGGGGGACAAAAACCTAAATTTCAAATAGAAAAAGAAAGAAAAAAAAAATCATTTTTCGAATTTGAGTTTTTTGGTTTTAGAAATTAATTATACACCCTAAAGTGCGAAACACATGTACGACGAAACCGTCCGACCCGACGTGCGGACTGCCGGAATGACCTTGGGGGGCGAGGGTTTTCGTAGCATCGGCGAGCGTTGAAAACCCTCGCCTCCGACCGTCGTATTACATGGTCGGACGTCGGATTGGACGGTTTCGTTGTACATGTGTTTCGCGCTTTACACTAAATTTGATAACCATACACCAAATAGTTATGTTGATATAAAATATTTTCAGCACATTGTGAGGCTGTAAAAAATTTAAAAAGTTCTATGTTCGAATTAATTTTTCTCAGTTCCACTTTTTGCTGCAAATTTCATACGAAGGAATATTTTGTTTGAAGGTAATGCATCTCATTATTTAAGGTAATGACTCTTCCTGAATTATTTGCATTTGAATTATAAAAACTAGATAGCTCGAAGTCCCACATTCCCCACTTTATATTCAAGCAGTCAAAATGATGCTTAATAGCTTCATTTGCATATCAGAGATCTCTTAAAGTGTGACACATCTTATGCAGGTATGTAAAATTGTCCCAGAGAGCTGAAAATTTGCACAATACACCGACATCTTATGTTAAATCTCCGTTGCAAATTTCACTCCGATCCCTTGAGTAGTTCAAAAGTAAATCTTTAGCCAGTGCCCTTAACAAACTTCAGCCACAGCATTTCTCAAACATACCTCTTTACACCACAATACTCATAGGCAAAAAGTAAAAAACAATCAAGTCATAATGTCCAATAGTCATTCCTGGGAGCTGGATAATCCAATTTGTGCAAAAAGGCTTCAGTCCTTCTGGAAAATCGTCATCATACCACTTAACCACTATGTACCAACCCTAGATATTCAACATATGAACAAGCATGGATCAAGCAAATGGGAAGTCTTTCTCATTGGAAACTATATACAGATGTATGCATGTGCAAGCGAGGCAGGTGTGTGAATGCACATGCATACACACACTGCCTAATTGTACTCGCTTGAAGAAAAAAAAAAAAAAAAGAGCAATGCAACTTTTGTACAGCCTCTGGAACACAATCACAAACTTCACCAAACTGCCTGCCAGCTTAGGAAACCAACAAAAGTAGGCCGGCAGGGACAGACAGACAGATGTCGAGTCCTCCGAGCTAAGCAAAACTTAAAACAGAGGTGGGGATGGAGGAGGGAGTGAGGGAGGAGTGTACACATCAATAATTAACGTCATCGCAACCACTAGTTGGTTAGCTAGGCTTATGTGGCATAGCGCTTTGTCCAGAGCCGGGCAATGCGGTCGTGCTCCTCTCGCTGCTGCATGAACTGAGTGGCAATGCTGCCCACCAGTGGGTCCGCTGTGCAAGGAAATGTAACAAAAGCATGCTCAAAACAAATAACCATTGTTTTTTTTTTTTGTTTTTTTTTTTTGTGTGTGTGTGGATGAAGTAAAATTTATCTACAGCCAATTCATATGGCATCCAGCTTTACACCCTGAAAACTGCAAGAAAGCAGAAATCTTAATGGGTAGTATATGCAACATGATGCAAAGATAACATACTTTCAGTGTTGGAAGTACTGCAAAATACAGAGGAAGTGGCCACCCCACTCTCAGTGAAAACTAGGTTAATCTAGACATGGGCACTTGACCGGTCAAACCAGGAGCTAAACGTATAATAGTGGTCGCTTCAACGAAGTGGGTGCTTCCGCTGTATTTTACGGTAGATTGTGTGACACGACATGTAAGCTACATTTATTCTATCAGACTAAAACCGGGGGTAGTCAAAGTTACTAGTATCAAAACAGGGAAGAAACCACAAGTACTAGACTCACTCTGAATACAAACAAGTCCGAGGAATTTCAAGAATTAAGCTGACATCGATGGAGCTGTTCAGACTCAAGAACTCGCAAGACCCTTACCCAAATATTAATAATTAATTTCATAATTTATATAAATAACCCAAACTAAACAAGATTTCCACCGTGAATCTGAACTTTAACAAAATATATATATATTTTTTTTATTTTTTAAAGATGGCAAAATGCTGTACTAGAGAGAACTATGAAATGAATTCTGGATTGAATAAATGATTTTAGATTGAAATTTTACTCATTGCATATTGTTTAGTAGGTTAAAACAAAAACCAGTACACTAGGGTAGAACACCAAAAGCCTGCTTTTCGCTATGAAATTTTAAAAATATAGCAAACTATTTCTTACATTCGAAAGCGCTCCGTTTTTTCACTGCAATACATCCATGGTACCCACGCACGTCAGCCAAAAATAGCTCACGTGTTCGACACGAGCACTGCATCACTCGGACATATGCGCTCGTCAACAATCAACCTGTCGACAAATATTTGGATTCGCGTTCGTGGCCAATGAGTGCCTCGACGGCAATTATCACTTGCAAATGACAAGTTCCATGGTGTGCTAAGCACGGTGAAAGCTTGGAGTCGTTGCATTCCAAAACCAACACCGTCAAAGTTGACAATCTGACATAACTCTTTTTTACGTCGAGGAAAGCAAAATTCATTAGACTGGCCTGTCGTGGAAGTCCGACCATGTCGACAAGAAGACTGGGAGGGCTGTCGCTGTAGTTCAACATTTATCGACGACTGTATCAGATGCAAGAAACACGAACGGCTGACCCCGCCAACCCTCGGACGGCTGGGAGAGCTTCCGGTTCCAATAAAATACTACTACGTCACAACCACATAATTTTTCATTTCACTTTTCAGTGAGGAAAACTAAGGAGGAAGAAGTTCAAGAATCATTCCATGGTCCCTTCAATTTTGCCAAGTATAGAAGCCTACAGTCACTATGTTTTAGAGGTCAACAAATATGATAGTACATGTCTGCCTGTGTAGAGAATGCTGCATACAATGTAGTAACGTATGCCTAAACTTTAAAAAAAAGAGATAACGTGAGACTACATTACAATCCTCAATACCATATTTGAGTACAGAAAGGCGATCAAATCACACCTAAAGTGCAACAACAGCTTGTGTGGCTATTAGCAATGAATGCAATTACCCAAAAACACCAGCAGGAGGAGGAGACACTCAATGTCAACAGAACAAAATCATGACCAGACCAGCATGCTTACCTGGGTTGCAGTCTGTGAGTAGAGAACATATGGATAGCAGAACTTTGGAAATGGTCAGGGCAGGACTCCAGTTGTCCTTGAGAATGTCTAGGCATATCACTCCCTGGCTGTTGATGTTGCAATGATAGATGCGAGTACGAAATGTCACCTGCCATGGAAAAGAAACCACATATTACACAAGGCACCCAAAATAAAACTTGATATCAAAAAGGAGCAGTGAAATTTTTCAGAATCTGAAACTTGGGCACAAAGTCTTTCAGGAATGGGTTGCCTTGAATGATCCCAACCAAAGCTCTTAAGGACCAACCCAATTAATAAAATTAATTGCTGTACCTATAGTGTGTGAAAAAGATAATAGCAATTCAATAAACAAGACATAGCTGTGCTATCATACTTATTTTACGACATAACTTAAGAATGTGTAGCAATTTTTAGAGCAAATTTTTATCACGGTACCTAACTGACAAACTTCCGAAATTCCAGAAATAAACTACCATAGAATACCGTTATCCACCCATTCCGCACCAAGCGCCCACCCCCAAAATTTGAAACATCTGAAAAAAATATAGACAGTACAAATATATGCAAAATTGATGACCCTCACGTGCGCCCATCTCTATTTTTTTGTGATTATCTTCAAATTTTGAGTGGGCGCTTGCTCGGTGTGTTACAGTAAGTGTGATATCCAAGTAGTAACTTCACAAGTATACACGTTTGCAAGTTCGGCTTCAGGGCGCCGCCATCTTGCTTGGTTGGGGTGCGCTTGGACGCATCATAATCTGATTCGAAGCCTTGCAAGGCGTCATAATCGGATTATGGCCGTGCCCAAGTGCACCTCAACCGAGCAACATGGCGGCACCGAGACCGGATTTGCAAACATGTATACATATGAAATGCACAAAAACTGCTTTGTCAAATTAAAAAAAAAAATCTTTTACAATTATATGGGACAACTTTTATTTATTTAACTAAACCATTTTGTTCAGTTTAAAATACTTGTGGAATTTACCAGTACAAGCGGGCATCAAATAAAATGCAGGACATCAACGTAGTAACAAAAATTCAAACCTCCTATATAGTTTATTTCACTTTGTGCGCAAGTGAAGCTACAAGCTTGAGCATGTTGCCTTGAACAACGCTTGCACTGCACAAGCTTGGCACAGACGCTGAAAGCCCAGAGCTCGCTCTCGTAACTTTCACTATGTTTGCACTTGAGGTGAAACAAGTTCAGCACCTCTGTCCCTGGTTTACGAGACATTGAAAGTCCACCAGCTCTAATCCGTATTGGGCATTATTTCTACAGGACATCACCTTTGGTGGCTTGAACGGATACTCTGGACTGAAGTGGATATCCAGAAAGAACACCCCACCCTCGTAGACAGATCCTGGTGGGCCGAGAATGGTGGACACCCATTCATACAAGTTATCTCCTTTAGGGCCCGCACTAGAGACGAAGGAAGAGAACCATACAGTTAACACTCCACGCTTCTAAGTCAGGGTTCACTCTCACATATTGACAAAGGTGCTCATAAGATGCACATAAAAATTTGTGAACACCTTTTAATCTCCGACACACCGGATTCACTGATTTTAGGGCAGGTCGAGGTTGTGAGAAAAAACTGTTACACATTTTTAGCTACATCAGCAAAGTTTGTATGTACACTACACGACACTGTTTGCACAAACAAGCGATTGCCAGTTTTTCTCCCAGAATTGAAAAACCGTCATCAAAAACTACTATAATCATTTTCACCTCAAGAATCATAGTAAAAAAAGTCAGACTCCTCGCGGAGCACTACTAATTTCTCTCTTTATGCGGGAGTAAGATATTTGTAGGTACATTTTAGAGTAGACAAACAACCAAATCTTGTAAGAACCTACTTCGTGCAGCGTATTAACAATGCACGAAACTAGCTTTTTTTTCTGGAGTACACGACACGACACGATAGTGTCGTGGAAAGTGCTCATTTTGAGCACCAACCTAAGAGGCAAAATTTTATACTATTTAAAGACATGTCCGAGTCAAATGTGAAAACGCATCAATGTTGTGTTCGCGCTAACAGTGTCACGCAGTGTACACCTTTTGTAATGATAGCCTAAAATCTTTCATGAAAATATTAGATGAGCTAGTAAAACCAAACTATACAGAAATCAGCAGCTTTAAAGTAGGTTTCTATGCCAATTTCTGAAGAAAGAAATTGACTCATCGACATGCTGTCATTCCTTAGGCAACACCATATATTACAAAGCAAATTCAATATTCATAATAATGCAGCATTCAGAATATATACAGAAATAAAGTACTAGGGTAGATAATTGATCAAATACAGCAACAAACTTGGCAAATACAATTAAAAAAATCGCTAGGATATCATTCAGCCACTTCTGAGCAACGATAATAAGTGTAAGCAGGCAAGTTCATGAGAACCTGGCCGAACTTTGCGGGAGGCTATGGCACTCAACAAAAAAAAAAGAGGACGAGAAAATTGCACCGTGCTTCCACTGCACAAGTGGATGCACAATGTTATCACATTCCACCTAGCACAGCACTGGCTAAGATATTTCAAGACAAAGTCCAAAGAGTTTCAAAGACCCAGAATATACCAAGATTTGCAATGCATTAGCACTGCTTAAAATTAGTGCCTTCAGTTAAATTAAAAACGTTTCTTGCAGCACCGGAGACCGGCGAAATGTTTTGATTGATAGACCTTCCATGAAAAAGGGACGCAGAAGCGATCCCTTCCCCACGCATTGGTGGAACCTAAAGTCACTGGATCCTGGGAAAATAGCGCCATTGCCTTCCCTACCTGCTAGCCGCACACAAACGGATACTAACATACAAAAGACCCAAATCTCGCAAGGTGATTGGCTAATCGCCCTAAGTTCCCATGGAAATCGCCATCGTGGTCCATTCAAATCTTCGAAGCTTCCAGGGGGTCGTTCTAAACCAGTCGCGCCAAGATCACCATGGAGCATCATCGTACTGGAAGCGTTCCTCGCCAATATAGGAGTCTTTGGCACTGTGCATGCAATCAACTTATTAATCATGCCCATCTCCATGGATCTCTTACAATTATATTGTTCTTCTTGCGCATTTCAAGACAGTAAACTTATTTTTCAGTGCCTCCAAGCACCGACACAGCATCTGATGGTGGTACGAACGTGTACGCTTGTTTCGCCGGTGTGTGGCTTGCAAAATCTCGGTATACAAAAAAAAAAAAGACTCAATAAAGCTACGTGTCACCAGCGAATCTAGATCGGCTCACCAAGAACGGAGGGGTCAAGGAAAAATTGCTCATTCCACGGACCAAGATGGCGACCACGCGGGGAGCTTGGGTTACTTTCCCAGGATCCAGTGACTTTAGTGGAACCAATATAACGAGTACGGGACCTTGGAAGAAGACATGCTAATTTCATGTGCCACCAAAAGGCACATGTCTAAATCTTATTTTTATAATAATAATAATTATAAAAAACCGACCACAAACGCGAAAAATAATCGGAAGGCTTGCATCGAGTCGCGTTCCTTACTATGCACACTGATAACGTTTATGCACCAGTCAAGTTGGTTCCGAGTGCATCCAATACAAACCCCTCCTCAAGTTTTTGTAGAATCCAACAACTGAGGGGAGACTTCAAGCACTGCCTATGGGCAGTGGTTTTGTTTTGCAATAGGAAAATGCTTACTACCGCTTGTGTAATGCTTCCAGGTGGACGACAGCTAACAGTCGTGGTAACCGAAGAGCGGGGGAAAAACGGGACGAACACCACAACGTTGGAGCTTTGTGTTGTCCGTCCCGTTTTTCCCGGCTCTTGAGTTACCATATCAGTATTGAACCAGCTCGCCTGCACACTTGCTTTGGTTCAACAAACAGGTTTACCTACAGCCCAGTCAATAACGCCACGGGCATGCACCGGAAAGTGCCTTCAAAACGGTTCAGTCAAACGTAATGACCAGACAGATAGTGCCTTCAAAATGGTTGTGAATCGTAACGACCAGACCGATACTAATTCGAGCAGCATGCGAACAAGTGCAACACAGAGGAACAAAAAGAAAAAGAAACACCGGACAGGAAAAGGCCCATGGCTACTACTCTCACGTAAATGAATAAATAACATCACCTGCAATTAGGCGGTGGGTCCAGCGTAATTTCCGCGAGTTCCTTTTGGATCCTAGAAAAAAAAAAAAAAAAAAGTTCAGCGCCGCACGCTTCGTGCAACACCTCGACTGCATACCAGCCGCTGATTTTCAGGCGTGTACAGTGAAAAAGAGCACACTGGAACGGATATCTTATGCAAGGGCAAGTGGTCCCCGACGTGGGTACCGCCTTAGTCCTAAGAAGGAACGATTGACACACTCACCTCTTGGCACTGGTACTTAATGACTTCGACATGTTCGGACTCAAATTCGTGCCGTCTTGATCCTTCCTTGGGTCCTGATCTTCGACCGCGGAGCTGCTTCTTCCAGGGGGAGATTCAGAACTCGGAACGTCCAGCCTGGGTATGACCACCGGACATATCTCACCAAACGTCACTTCGCAACTATGCCCCCAAAGCAAAACAAAAAAGCACGAACAAAACAGAAACCCACAGGGGTTAAGACGACAAGGCTGGACATATTAATCCTGGCACCGGCCATAAGGCAACATGAAAAATACGGGGAGCATGAGGTGATGCCACCAGCCGAGATCACGATTAGGAACGCCGAAGTGCTCACAGCCCTAACAAAGACAGGAGTGGATGCCTGATCCTATTAGAAAAAATACACCCACACGGAGCGTCCAAGAGCCCCGTAATCAGTCCACAACATTTAGATTTCGATCAGCTTTCGTAGAGCTACCGGGAACTACGACGTTCAAGAAGTACTACAAAACAAATCACGACTCACAGAACGACAGCCACCCACTGTGTACAGAACGTCGAACGCTGTGCCGCCAGGCCGGCGCAGCCGTAGCCTTGGCTATTGTAACGCGCTCCGGGCGCCCGAGCGAGCGAAGAAGCGAGAAAAGAGCGACCGATGAGCGAAAAAGAAAGAGAAAAGTAGGGTGACGTCACGGCGACGTCAGATATGTTGATCACCCCGTCCGGCAACTAAGACGGGTAGAGCCGTTAACATCCATGCTCCTTCGGTGCGCTCTTTCTGGTCTTTCTGCGCTCAAGCGTACGGTTCTTGTTTCCGCCGCCTCAAAACATGGCGCTGCAATCGCCGCCTCTACCGGGCCGCCCCTACTTGCCCCTAGATGGCGCAAGTTGTCCTGTCTCCTTCCGGGCGTCCGGTTCGCGCCCGCTCGCTACCCCCCCCCCCCCCCCCCCCCCCGGCCCCCGGCCCCCGGCCCCCGGTTCGCTTTCTTGATTTAATTTCTCGTCGATTTCATTCTCGTCTTCTGGGGCTTTTTTTTTTTATATCTTTGTTCATAAACCACTGTAGCGCAACTTCAGAGAAGCTGCTCCTCAAGTGGGTAGGAGGCAAGGAGCACACACATACTTTTCATACATTCTTTATTATTTACACAGATCTCATACATAAAATGTAAGATAAATACAGATAATAAAATTTACGGAACAATAGAACAGATAGCACGAGATGCAAAAAAAGAGCACAATGAAAAAAATATACATTTATAGAAGACATCGCACCACCACAGTTTTGATCAGCAGAAACTTCAATGTTTCGTGGACAAAAAAAAATTTTTTTTTTGTTACTCAGCTGATAGATGATTTGTTTTACGGTTTCTGTGCTTTCCTATTAGCTACAGACATTTTCAAATGAGGTTTTAAATTCACCAGGGTTCATAGCAGCTGGAGAACTTGTAGCCGATTGCTGGACAGAGGTCTCCGACTGTTCTGTCATGAAAGCTCTAAGATTCTTCATCACATCATCCTTGTATATCAGATTGAGAATGCACGCCAGAAAGCACTCAAGCTTGCCCAAAAAAGTAAGGCAAGGGTCTGTGAGCAAAAGGAGAACACCAAAAATGCCAGTGTCGTCCTGTGCGCATAGCACGTGGTACGGTTCGATCTGCCTGCAAATTTCAGGTGCAACGTCACTCATACGTAAGTAAAAACGAAAACAAACGTGTGCTAAGTGCTGTGTTTACGGGGTTTCTGCCGCACGAGACTGAAAATCGCAACCAGGATTGCACCACATGGAACGGGCTTGGAACGAAAGCGACGAAAAACGAAACTTTACCTCTCGCTTCGGAACATCTTTCGACAAGACTTTCGACTTGTTTGAGTTCCCGCACCATTTCGCAGAACAGTAGCGCCAAGGTATCCTCTTCCGAGAGCACCAGAACTTTCGAAGTCAAATTAGCGCGGACCGAGCGAACACCACGTTTTCCGCAGAACACTCGGAGCTGACGATCACGCTCAGCGGCTGTCGGAGACCGTTGCTGCCGTTGCACCGGTGGCACCGGTTGCGCCGTTGCCGTTGCCATGGCCACCGGCCCGGCGGCAAAGTCGATCGTAACGCCATATTTTGAGGCGGTGAAAACAAGAACCCTACGCTTGAGCGCAGAAAGAGCGCCCCGAGGGAACATGGATGTTAACGGCAGTACCCGTCCTAGTTGCCGGAGGGGGTGATCAACATATTTGACGTCATCGTGACGTCATCCTGACTCTTGGCGGCCTCTACCGAGGTTTCCTTGAACGCCGCTGGCTGCGTGAGCCTGGTGCCGCCGCTTGGCCAGCTTGGCTGTTCTCAGCTGCGAAAGCACCCCCTTTCCTCCTCTCCTTTTCGCGGACGCCGCTCGGGCTCGGCGGCTCGGCTGTTCGCCGTTCCCGATCAGCGGTGCAGCCTCCAATAAATCTCGCGAGTTATCGCTCTACCCTTCAGGCAGTTCTGTGCTGTGGTTCTGTGGTCCTTATTATATGCCCTGCTAGAAATTTAAGCGTTTTTTTTTTTTTTTTCTACTTATCAAATGTTATGGCGAAACACCCACATATTCTTTCATATTTTTTACCCGGAGAAAGAATGTCGTTACTTGCTAAATATCGGGAGTCCGCTTTTGAGAGAAAACAATTTCTTAGCAGCGTGCACTGCAATATTCACCGAAGTCGTAATTAGGTGGCTAATGTAGGATTTGGAAAGTTTCGGTATGCGTGATTATGTATGTAACCACGATGTAATTGGGTTGTGTGTATGTTTATACAGCCTGAACTTGGTCTGTCTCAACGGGCGTCGGGCGACTTGTCTCACAGCTGCAGATGAGCAGCCTGGGGTCTTTAACGCGCACCACGCAGTAAAAATACACGACCGCACACCGCACGCCGGTATGTTCATCCAGCTCGAAACGGGCAGGCGTGGGGATTGAACCAGATTGAACCCATGATCCCTAGCTGGGTGCTGCAGCGCGAGCTTTCGCTCCACGTGCTCCGAGTTGGTGTGCGCTAGCCCACTCGGTCACCGACTTTTTTTTTTATTTTTTTTTTTTTTTATTTTAAATTGATCTTTATGTACATGTTTAAAAAAAATTCGTTCACACTTCCTCATGCAATAAAAGTGCAGAAAAAGCACAAAACAGCATAACACAGTGTGCAGCGTGCAAAGTAACACAAAGCGACACAACAGTTCACGTGTCTAATCCGCAGTTCAAAGGCCGCAAATGCATAGGCAGTACTAACCCTGGAGACCGCCGCAAGGCAAATGGCGTGCCTCTACTTGATGATGGCAGAGAAACCGCGCACTCCGAGCCGAGCCTTCAGTGTTTCCCCAACACTCAAGCCCCTCCTGCTCTGTCGTCGCAATCAGCGAGCTGGCGTACACAAAACCATCCAAAAAATGCCTCCACGCAGGTTTCCCTCCTTCGACAACATGAAGGTGATCCGTTCTTGACCTCCACAACGCGTACGTAAACCAAGGATGGTCAGAACCTCAAAGGCTCGACTATCTCTTCCCGTCCCACACTCAAGAAACATTGCACTTCGCCACGACACATACAGATCAACTTCTAGTGCCGCCCGCAGCTGTGCCCAAAAAAGTTCAGCATTTGTGCAAAATAGGATAACATGTTCAAGAGTCTCTGGAAAAGGACAAAGCGCGCAGTTCGTGGACCACGGTACAAAAAAAAAAAAAAACCCTTTTGCTCCAACCATGTTTTTACCGGGAGAACTCTCAGATGTAGACGCAAGAAAAATTTTTTTTTTTGTAGCTGTTCTTACGGGATAGCGTCGGAGCCGTTTGAAAACATCTGACTCCACTGCTGTTAATTCCTTCCCACATCCGATACAGTGGGACAGGAATTAGCATGTCGAGCGTGTCCCAGTACAGGGTCTTTCGTTTCACCTTGTCAAGGTACTCATCAGAGAAGCGGCCCTTAAAAAACTTAATCGCTGCTTCAATTTCTTTGTAGAATTTTAAGATCCGCGAGCGGGAAGATCCAGCCTCACCTTCTAGCCACTGTCCTAAAAAACTCACTCGGTCACCGACCGGCGACCTCCCACTAATCACGATGTAAGAAACACATACGTAACCGAAAGCCTAATGGGCGACAGAGAAAGGGTATCCAGAGGAAAGCTGGCCGAGAACCGTCAGACGCAGTAAAAAAAAGGGTAAACTAGGATATTGTGAACCGATCAAATCTCTAACACTTTTCGGACGGAGAGGGAAGGGGGGAGAGATTTGTAGTTTGTCACTTCCCCTAACAAACATAAAAGAAAAACAGAAGCCACCATTTTTTTGTTTGTGCACGTTATTTGTGTTGGGGTGGTCTGGGGGGGCCGGGGGGGGGGGGGGGGGGGGCAGAGAAAAAGGCATGGTGTCTAACGACACCTCTGCCCCTCAAAAAAGAGCGTGTGGACGGTACTACTATGAGTGTTCCTACGTACGACGCGTGCTTTGCTCGCATACCGAAGCGACTAACGCGCACGTGCTGGACTGTGAAGGTTGCACGCTGGACTGTGATTTTGTAAACACTGAAACATAAAAAAAAGAAATAAAAAAAAAAATACGACGCCGGTTTACTCAATGGGACAGTTAATGCTTTCGCATTGAAATAAATCTCAAGTATAGCGACCCATCAAAAGATGTACACAATCTACAGGCTGCAGTCTCGGCCAGGGACTCAGACCGAAAAATATAACGTTTCGGTTACGGTTACGGTTACCGCTTCTTGTTGATAACGGTTTCGTTTCGGTTTTTTACGGTTTTAATTTTTGCGGTTTCGGTTACCGGTTACACGTTCCTGAAAACCGGTTTATTTCGGTTTTTCCAATAATTTGTTTAATTGAAATCTTAGATGGCCATTTTATAATAAATTGTTTAAAGTAGTCCCATATATCCAACGACGTGAAGTTCAAGGAACCTAGATATGTCTTAATACTTCTAATTGGTCAAAAGTTGCACACGTTTCTAGCTCCAACGTTTGTTCACTACATCTACTTACATTATATAGTTTTATACCCTAGCATAAATGTCACTTCCGCTCACTGATCTCTATGCTTCCGCTACTCGGGGATCATCGCATTCTATGTAATAAAAATGGAAATTAACATCCCTGTTTTGTTGTTCGGCAGCGTTTCTAAACAACCCTAAGAAAGTTCTCACTGGATGCTGGAAGAACCGTTCGCACCTTCTCGTCACTATAGTTTAATTATTTCAACCTAATACATGAAGGCGAGTCTTCGCCAACACTGAAGGGAGGAGCAGAACTTTATCCATCCTCTAGTAAAATACTGCTAAGTGGAACAAGTAATACAATTAAGAGCTGGGCTATTTGGTGAAAGTCAAACATAATGTAAATGCAATAACCCAAAACATGGAACACTATTCTCTCGTGGAAATGGAGCGTGCTGGTTAAGTTACGGTGTTTGTGGAGAATACCATAGAGGACGAAAACCGGACGACACGTCCGGTTTTCGAAGACTAAGGAGAGGAACAAACACAACAGTAAGAACACAGAAAGCTGTAAAAATATGTTGTGTTGTTCATTCCTTTTACTAATCTTCGTTGTTGTGCCATGTTACACCTACGTCTTAAAAAGAAATTGCAAATCAAGTGCGGGCATACTTTATATATGTATTCGAAAATATGCAGATGAATGAACACTTCATGAAATGAATCGCTGTTTTACAAAACCGCCGCGAAAGCCAAAATAAACCGCGGAGCTAGGATTTGAACTCTCACCCTCTCAATGTACGGTCGGTTGCGGTTATATTATATTATATTATATTTAGGGCTGGACAAATGATCAATTAACCTTCCGATTAATCGATTAAGGCTTTAATCGCGATCAAATTTTTTAACCGGTTAGTCGGTTTTTAATCGGTACTGAAAAAAGAAGTCAACTGGACGCACGCATGGCTCTATCCTGGACGATCTGCCAGAACTAGGGAACCTGCCCGAACTAGGGCATTTTCTCTTGTCATGCTGAGATGCGTGGCAATGCGCCACTCGGTTCGAAAAAAGGTATCGGCACGAGAAGGAAACAAAAAACCCCCAAAACTCGGAAACCCTTTGGACGTTTATATATATATATATATATATATATATATATATATATATATATATATATATATATATATATATATATATATATATATATATATATATATATATATATATATATATATATATATATATATATATATATATACAAAACGCCAATGTCAAACCTCTGGCATTTTTTTCGTTCCGTGTTGTTTCAAAATCGTCACTCGGGACACGTTTCAAACAGAATGAATACCAGGTTCTCTTTTCCAACAGCTCAATACGTGATGGTAAATTTACCTCGTTTCTTTTCAATGGCTACTGCATGTGAGGAGCATCGGTGGTTTTGATAGAACCAAGTTGGATGGACATCGGAGAATGCTAACTTATTAGTTAATACCCTGAAGGCGACACGTACTGAATACATGTAGCGATGTAGGAGTGTGGGAGATTTAGAAATATACTTTTTTATTATAAGCTCGACCACTTATTCCAACTAAGTATTCTTAATCCTAAAGTTAGATTGAACAGAAATGTATTACTAAATGCACCACTCGCTGACTGTACCTCTGTCAAACGGCCACGACATTTCAAGATTCGTCCACCAGGTCATACTTGAGAAAAACTAATTTTTTTTTTGGTTAATATCGGTTAAAACCGGTTACCGGTAAATCATTCACGGTTACGGTTACGGTTTTTATAAATTTCAAATAACAGTTTCGTTCCGGTTACGATAACTGACAAAATTTCGTTCCCAAACGGTTTTCGGTTTCGGTTACGGTTTGAGTCCCTGGTCTCGGCCAGTAACCGGAACCGAACTGTCATGTTTAGCCAAACCGGAACTGAACCGAACTGAAATCTTTGCCGCCATCTTGGAACAGAACCGGAAAAAAATAAAACGGTAACTGGTTCAAAACGGTTCACGGTAACGTTGTTTTTTTTTTTTGTTTTTATTACAAAATGAATATTTGGGAATAAAAATTGGCAGCTGTATTTCTATGTATTGACCAAGTCGTCATACACTATTGACCATGGAGAATAGAAGGGTAGG